CACCGCAACGACCGGACGACAAAAAACGCACACAAGAAACAAAAAGACACGACAAGGGGAAGACAACGACAACACCGGCCAGGACCACAACCACAACAACGACGACAACGACACCAACCACGACGAGGCCGACGACAGGAACCAAACAAAGACGACGACGACGCCACAACAAGAACCACCACCAAAGGACAAACACCGAGAAGAGAGGAAAAAGGGGAGGAGCGAAGAGGGAACAAGGGAAGAGGAGAACGAGAAGGGAAGAGAGAAACAAAGTTCAGCAAGCAAGTTTGGAACACCAGCGCTGCCGGTCCCGATCCAATGCCTTGCGTCCCATACTTTACCAGGCGAATCTAAAAACTCGCCAAACTCCAGAAACCGGAGAGCAAATAATTAACGCATCACCTCAGTCACCAAATGGAGGTGCCCTAGCCCCGATCCTACGGGGCCTTAGAGGCTGCGAAAAACTGTGAAACGTCGAATTTGGGTGTGGAGCCCGCGTTGATCTGGACGGCACAGTGCGGACCAAACTGCATGACCATTGCAGGGGCTTCTTCAGCAAGCACCGTTTTACATCCAAGAATTGTCAGCTCCTTGGAAGCAACCTTCACTTGCAAGCTGAGCTTCTTAACCTTGGAGGCAACCGCAATCTGTAATCGCAACACGAATTTGCGAGCATCGCCGCCTGCTGTTGCATAGCTTTGCGGTCCCACCGGCTTATGCCATTTACCACCCCTTGAAACGACCAAAGGCTCGACAGGGATCTTGGGGCCAGCTAAGCCCTTCCAGACCTCCACTCTTTCAGCTACCTCTTGCGGGCTAAAGGCTTTCCGAAAGGAGATCTGCACAGTCCTGGAACCAGTCGAAGTGTCCAGAAGCTTGAGGGCCGAGCGTAATTCTTGCACCGCCTTTCTAGCAAGATCAGCTTCGTCAGCGGAAAAAGCCATAGCGTGCTTGAAGGAAGCATCAGGGCCCGGAAGGCTTTCACTCTGCTGCGAGGCAGCTGAGGGCACTTCAGTGGGCACACCAATCACCTTCCTGGCTTCACTAATGGCTTCTTCCTCAGACAACTGCTGTCCCTTGAACAGGCGCATGAGGCTGATGATACCAAGACGCATGTCTTCGGGAGATGCAAGATCCACTGCTTTCTCATCGCACTGTTCCTCTGATACCCGGGATCCGCGAGATCTTGAACGAGATCTGGAACGCAGAGGCTGATGATCAACTTCGTGATCGCTTTCCTGGTTCTTCTGCCGCTCGAGATAGTCAAGGAACCACTCGAAGGCGAATTGAACCCTACAGCCCTACAGCTGTCATCGCCCATGCTTGCGTGCGCTGGGACTCCTACCCCAATTACCTGACAACAAGGCCTGAGAGGAAAAACCCGCAGAAAAATCAGAAGCATCACCATCCGAAGAAAAATCAAAGCAGCACCGAAGGCAGGACGGAAGCAACGCAACAAGCAAGCCACAAAACTGTAGTCTCACCAGGAGCACCTTAGCAGGAGCACCAAGCAAGGGCACACACAACAACGAAGGACCCAGAACGACCATCAAACCAACCACAACGACAACCAACCCCGACGCCAACGGCAACGACAGCGCACTAAACCCTGGGTCCTTAGTCAGGCGCGTGCAGCAGGCAAAACGAAAGCAACCCCAACAGCAACAACAACAACAAAAACCACAACCGCACAACCAACAACACCCAAGCCACAACAACAAGGTCAAAGACGAAACCTAGCCAAGGGGCAAGTGTTTGAGACAAAACTCGCAGCAACGGCAGCAACAACCTCAACGACCTCAAAAAAAAAAAAAAAGAACCAAGCTCAGGAACCATTTTCCTTAGTCAGGACGTGGAAAACAACGGCAACACAGAAAAAACAACCCACAACCCCGAAGAACCACCCCGAGCCAAGAAACGAGGGTCCTTAGTCAGTCTCACAAAGAACTGCATCAGCAACAACCCCAAGCCCTACAACAACACCCAAAAAATCACAAAAAGTAGAACACCCGACCAAGTGGCGAAAGTCCTTAGTCAACAAGCGGGCAAGGGGCGCAACTACGCGAGAACAACGACGTTCAACCCCAACCACAACAACAACACCACAGCAAAAATAAAGGTGCAGGGTCCTTAGTACAGGAGCACAGCAGGACTCCCTCACCACAACAGCGCCAACAACGACAACAACAACAAGCACACCAACCTCGATAACAAGAACGTAACCGACGACAACAACAACAACACCAAGCTGAGTGGCGAAGGTCCTTAGTCCTAACCCGCAACGACTTACAACGACAGAAAAAACACAACACACAACAAAGACACCACCCACACAACCAACAACAACAGTAAGACCCAAAAGCGACAACCTCAACAGTAAAAGCAACAACACCGTGCCAGGTTACGGAGTACCTTGGTCTCAGGGCTCAACCCAACCGCAACAACAACACAACAACCACGGCGAACAAAACAATATCACCAAGCCAAGGCGCACAATTCTTAGCCAGGGCACGACACATCAACAAACAACAAGAACCCACAACAACAACAACAACAACAACAACACCATCGACGACAACAGCCAGCACACCCCACCACCACCACCACCACCACCAACCACAACCCCACCACAGCCAACAAAAAACAAAACACCAAAAACAAACAGAACCACACGAACAACGGCGACAACGACCAAAACAGCAACACAACCAGGCCAAGCTGCGAAGTTCCTTAGTCAGGGAACAAACAGAACCAAACACACAACGGCGACAACAACCAAAACAGCAACACAACCAGGCCAAGCTGCGAAGTTCCTTAGTCAGGGAACAAACAGAACCAAACAAACAACGGCGACAACAACCAAAACAGCAACACAACCAGGCCAAGCTGCGAAGTTCCTTAGTCCGGGAACAAACAGAACAAAACAAACAACGGCGACAACAACCAAAACAGCAACACAACCAGGCCAAGCTGCGAAGTTCCTTAGTCAGCATGAGCTCAACACAACACCACCACCACCACAACAACAACAACAACAACCACAACCCCGACACCGAGCCGAGTTGCGAAAATCCTTAGTCAGAACACGCATCAACCCAAACAAAAGCATCAGTAACGACACAACCGCAACAACAACCACCACCACAGCCAACAACACGAAAACAAAAACAGCAGCCGCAACACAGCAACAAAAGCAACACAACCAGGCCAAGCTGCGAAGTTCCTTAGTAAGAGCGCTAAACATCACAACGACGACACCACCACCACCACCAACAACAACACCAACACCAGCACCACCACCAGCACCACCACCACCAACAACGACCACAACCAAACAATAAAATCAACACCGAGCCGAGGGACAAAGAACCTTAGTCGGAGCACACAACAATCCAACGACACCACCACCACCACAACCAACCGAAACAAACAGCCCCCCAAACACCCAAGCAAGACAACAACACCACCCCCACCAACAACAACAACCACAACAACAACAACAACAATCACAGCAACCACACCAGGCCAGGTCACGCCAAGCACAACGAAAAGCACGACCGCAACAGCAGCAACACCAGCAACAGCAACGACAGCAACAGCACACGGAACAGAAGCAGCAGCAGCGACAGCAACACCAAGCCAAGGTGCCGTTTTCCTTAGGCAGGGCTTTCCAAGAGCAGCAGCAGCGCAGCAACACCAAGCCAGGCTACGAAGTTCCTTAGTCCGGGCACCAGACAACAACGACAACAACAGCAACAACAGCCACGACAACAACAGCAACCGCAAAACACAACAGCCGAAACCGCAACACTGCCAAGCCAAGTTGCAGATTCCTTGGTCAAGGTGCTCAAAAACCCACAACGACAAGCACAACAACACCCAACCAAAACAAAAGAGCCACAAACAAACCAACGACAAGCACCAGAACAACAACAACCAACAAGAACAACAGCAGCAGGACAGACACACAACGACAGAAGTCCCAATACCCAGCCGAGAAACCAAAAAGAAATGGAAGTCCGGACACGCAGCGGCAGCACCAGCACCAGCACCATCACCGGCAGCGACACCCACAGAAGGCGCAGCAAAAACCCTAACCACGACAACAGATGCCCACAGCACATCAGCAGCACGTCTCGCGACTGCCATCCGGCCATGGCAAATGGCTGCGTCATGCAAGCTCCAGGTACTTAGAAGCGACTCAAGGGCATTAAGCCAAAGTCGGACGTACGTTCAACCACGACATGGGAGTTTCCGAAATTACGCAACAACGCAGCGAAACCCTCGGGTTAACTGTTGCTGGCAATATGGGAGTATCCGAAAATAAGGAACCCAAATAGGGCTAAACTTTAGTTCCCCATGATACCCGACAGGTAGGAAAGGCCTGGCAGCCTGGCAAGTATCGATATTGGTCTTGATCCAACAGGTCGTCACTGTTCCAGCGGATCTGCTGTGCCGGGGTATGACTGTGATACGTTATGTTATGTCATAATGGGAGTGTTGAACAGGAGTTGTTTTCTGCGAAGAAGCGGCGATAAGTCGTTAGGCAGGCCGCACTTGAGCTTCGTAGTCACAAAAATCCTGTAAGTTCTCGACACGCTGGCAACGCCACGATGGCAGCGGGAGGGAAGACGACCATCAGTACTTTACATGTTGAGCAGGGATTCCTGCAGGTCGGTGAGTGTTTTTCCCGGGATCAGGAGGTTCACATTTGATCACATTTGCACACGGTACAGGCCGTGTGTAGCCTGTGTTGCGAAGATGTGTTTCAGTCATGAGCTACGGTAACAATTAAAACTTTGGAACATTAATGTTACTTGTACTTGTGACGTTGTGTTGATGATCAGTGATACCGGGTGCCGCTCGTACAAGTTGAATCAGTTCTGCGGGTTGTGCTGTGGGAAGAGGGCCAGACTCAGCCATACAGAGCTCGAACAGGGTCGAGACGCCTTTCCCAGCCAAGGTGGATACTTTTCACGACCGCGAACTTTCCGGATGTGATGGTTCCATCATACACCGACACCCGTGCCACCTTCGTGTTTTTCCTGCTGTGCCTTGGCAAATTGGAAGTGTTTTGGCTGCTACGCTGCCGCCAGGCTGTTGCTGCGACATCCGAGTATAGAGAAGAGCTCGCAAGAGTTACTCAGCAAAGCAGCATTCAACCTGCGGTTGTGATGATAGCAACGGGCAGAACGTAAATCTGGACTGTGTCGGAAGAATTGTGGATGTGATGGTGGTGGTGGTCACGAGGCTCAACATGATGAATGACAGCGGTTATGAAGAGCCCACGATGAAAGCCGCGAGACATTTGCAGGCATTTTGTTTAACCTCTCAGGTACTTGGTGGTGTCCTTGTATCTGCTGAACAACATCCTTCTGGCGGCAGCCTACGATGCTTACAAGGTGCGACTGCTTTCCGAAGGATGCATCAAACTACACAGATTTCGGTTGTTTCGTACCCGAAACGGGTTCGGCTGCAAGTCAGGGTTCGATACCTCTCTAGCACACGCCTGACTGACCGTCAGACAGACTGCCACGATATGTAATGTATTGCCATATCGACATATGTTTGTACATGTGTGTATATATACATATATATATATGTATATATATTTGTATATATATCTATATATATACACAGTCATATTTGCATGTGTTTGTTTGTTGTGATAGGTATCAATGCTTTAGCATCCCCCACAAACAACGAGACAGCGAATCCGAATCTTAGCAAACCCTGCAGCCGGAGCCCATGCAAAGCTCACCGGGCTTATATGAGTCCTTGCTGTCCCCTGATGAACAGGTTCAGCTCGTTGGGCAGCTCCAAAAATTCCAGACATTGTCGCTTTGGCATTTAGAGGTACAACGTGAGGATGGACACATACAGTAGTAGAGCGGTGATCACCCGCAGGAGCAGCGACAGCAGTAGTCGGCCCAACACGGACTACGATTCATGTGTTTGCATCATCACATGCATGGCCAAGGAAAGCCTACTCCGTCGGGAAGGCTTTCCGCCTTTTGGCATCCGATCCAGGGGCCATGAAGGACAAAGAGCTGCAAATCAGCAAAGAGAGGCATCCGTCACTCCATGTCATGTGTGGGATTGAGTGCGATCGTGCTGTGACATGCTCTGTCAGAGCTGAGCAAACATGAACTGCTTTTCATGCTATTCGATTCCTGCGCCCACGGAAACGGCCCTTGCGTGCATTGCTCTGGATTGTGTGGGACTGCCGAGAGAGAAGGTCTCAGGTGCTAGGTATACTGACCCGGAATGCAAACGAGTCTTTGCTGCAACCTCGTCTTGATGTCGCCGCCCGGAGGTGGGTCCAGTTTGTCCTCCACTACTATGCGTGGCTTGGCCCAGTCTCAGCTGATGCGACTCTGGGAGCTATGGCTGGATGTTAAGAGCGTGGAATATTGAAGTACTTCGGGTTGGGCTCCACGAAATCCCGAGCAAGCCGAAAGACACAAGCGTTGTAATCTTATGGCTGAAACCGGTGAACCACCGCGCAAGCTCCCAAACACAGGTCATTTATCACGCCTGCGTATTCCTGAATCCTGCAGAAGGTTGCGCTATCTGGGCTAAGGCTTTTCCACCACGTCCGCAGCGAGCGTGACCGTTGGCCGTTGCATGGGCAATTTCGGCGTTGCCTCATGTATCATTGTACTTGCAGGGCACTACACAGCATGTCTGCACCAGCTTCCCAAGATGCTAGTGCCAAGTTTAGACGATTACTTGTGCGGAGATTATCCAAGCAGAGATATCAGGACATTGCCTGCTGCACCTCACATCATGACATTTTCTCCTCACAGCATCACGAGCAGCTTCGATATAGTAGCTCGTTGCAACCTGGCAATTGACAAAGATCGTCACGTCGGGCTAGCGTCAGTTCAAACGTGATGCTTCTTAAGTCCGGGCATACCCGATTGCGGCGCAAGGACCGGAAATACGTCGGGCAGAAGGCAAACTCTGCTTTTCTGCATTTGGACGTCGACTGCAGCGGGAGGCTCTCAGAGGACATGGTCTGCATCGTTCTTACATGCAGTTGATGCAGCTGGTCACGATTCGACTTGGGGTCGGTGTGGTTGTTTTTGTTTTCTTTGGTGTTGCACTATGGAGTGCCTGTCCTGGTTGGGGTGATGCGTCGGCAGCTCAGCCAAGCAAAGCCTTGAGGACGAGTTCAAGTCCGTGTTGGAGGCAACGGGTAGAAGTGGCGCAAGCCACACAGCATCACGAAGACAAGTTTCAATTGCTTTGTTGCTCTTCTTAGTGGATGCGCAAGAATTGCTAGTAGCAAGTCTGGGCTACGAGGATCGCAAGGCGAAGCAGACTCATACCTTAAGTTGCATGCACGGGGAAGAATGCCGGTCGGCCATCTTCATCGCATTTAGCTGGAACGATTTAATGCATGGGGAAATAGGTGGGGCATCACGGTAACATCAGCAGTGGCCTGGATTAGAAGTCGTCGGATAGTTTCAGCGTCGCATCTGTTTCATTGATGGGAAGCCAAAAGCCACGCCTGCATAGCCCCATGCCTCAGCTGCAGGTGCTCTCGGACCCAAACATCTACATTCCCACACGCCCTTTTCCACGAGCTTCAGCCACGCGGCACAGAAATCTGAGCCTCCCTCGCTTCTTTACTTTAAGAGTGCCGGTAACAAAATGTGAGCCTACAACCGACATGTCCTGGTCCTGGCCGTTACGAAATGTGTGAGGGCATGTCTGCTTTCGCAAATTTACTGGTTTCTGTTGGCACTCTTACATCATTTGTTTTTGCACCTTATGCCCGATCTGTTGAGTAGGTCGAGTAATACATAGACAGAGCTGCAGACAGGCACCCGATCCCACGCCCAGAGATCAGTAAACAATGAACCAGACATACACAGCACAGCAAGGGCTTTGGCACACAAAGCAGAACTGGCAAGCCCAGCCTTGTTTTCCGGCATCGTACAAACTACGGAACCAATTTGTACCGACGCAACGTGTAAGATGCAAAGGTCGACATGAATGCAGTGGTATACAAAAGAGTTTGTAGCAAGAACGACACTCAGAAAAGAACATTCAATGCATCGTATCTGAAAGAAGGGTAGCATTCTGGCACATGTCCGAGCGCCGTGGCTAACCAGATTCAGGACATGGGGCTCCGTGTAAGGCGTGCTGTTTCAAGATATATCCAGTTGAGATGTGCAACTTGGCACATGCACCTTTTCAGGAAGAACACAAGAAGTGGCGTATGGTCAATTACCGGTCCTCCTGTCGAGCATCCCCTTGCGTGTTTGTTTGCCGCACTCAGTGTCTACTATCAAGGCACGGAGCAAGTAGCGGCACAGTGCACAGCCAAGCTTCGCATCATCGGCTGATACACGATTTGTTGACCGTTGCCCTGTCCTGTGTTGATTTGGGTCCGGTGGAAAGGGCCAACAAGCCGAGGAGACATGCGTGGGAAGGCGACTGCTGGAGCTCTTCCAAGACGGCATCAGGTCCGACAGCTCTCGCCGGAGCCATGCGAGCTTTAGGATGTGAGTGATGTGAATCATACGATGCATGTCGCCCCCATTCTATTGTATTGTTGGCTCAGACGAGAGACTTTCCTTCCAAATATTCCCGAGCAACGATGTATTACGAATATGCAACCCGCTTTATCTAAACCCTAGACCCGGAAGTGCTCATTAAGATAAGCCTCAAGGTGTGTAGCCATTTGTAGCCCTTGCAGGCTGCCTTGCCGCTCCTTGACCTGGAGGTTTGTGCTTGACGTAGCCACTCAACTGCCCACCTAAGCATATCAAGTCAGGGTCTGGGGGGAAGTGAGGCTTCCAGATCCAGAAAGCACTGCTACAGCGTGATGCGACCTTTCAGGCCCGATTTAAATCCGCACTATTGTCCCTGATGCCTGCGTGTGTGTGTGTGCGCGCGCCTCGGGTTGGATCCTTGGGGTTTCAGGCTTCTGGTTCATTCTGTTCTTTAAGGCGTATGGGATGCCCGTAAACAACCTTTTGGTCCGGGTGCTCGTAAATTGTCTTGGTGGTGGTCGCTATTCTGATGTTTTAAGGAACTCGTCCTCCTCGTACTCGTATGTATGATTTACAAGTTGCCAGTGCAACTTGTTTTCCTCTGCGTGTGCCTTGTCCTCTTGTTCCTCGTCTCTGTCGTCCTCCTTCTTCTCCACCCCAACTCCCAATAATACTACAATAATACGCTAATAATACTATAACAATACGATCCAGCTCCTGCAGCGCCTGAACGGCTTGCGCATTGTGCTCGACGATGACGACAGCAGTTGCAGCAGCGCTGCTTGTGCTTGTGGTGGTGATTTGTTGTCTCGTCACCGTGGTGGTGCATTCTTGGACTGTTATTGGTGTTTGCAGTGCTGGGTTTTAGTCGTAGGGCACGATTGGTTTCTGCATGTTTCGGCAATCGCATACAATCGCAAGGTGACCTTCTTGGAGTTAGTGGCCGCAGCAGGACAAAGTGCCACGATCGCAAGGGGCGTGCTCATGACTGTGTTAGGCCAAGCAGTCCTGACTATGACGATGAGGTGCGTGCGACAGTGCTGTGACTTTACTGACAGTGATGATGGTAATGAAGGTGGTCATGATGATCAGCACGAGGCTGATGTTGGCGATGGCGACGGGATAAGTTCTTGTGACGGAATTGGTGCCACCGATGGTGATGGTGATGACGTTTGCCATGTTGCACGGGTTTTCTTAGGCCTCAAGGATCTGTGCAGCTGCTTTGAGACGGTTCGCTCCCTTCCTTTCTTGGGTTCACCGTCTGGGGGTTTGTCCCTGCTGTTCCTAGGGTGTGTAGATCAAACAGAAGAAGTTGCCACCCTGTGGCGGTCGATTGCAAGCCAAGTCCTTCAGATGCTGTTGTCAGCTAGTGCAGCTAGTGGTAGTAGGAACGTGAAAGGCAAGAATGACAATCATAGTATGCGCGCCCCACTGAACTGCTATTTGGAAATTCTGAGAATTCTTAGATGCACCGGCAGACAGTCAAACAGGAGTTTGTCAAAAGAGAGCCCAAATAAGAGGATCCTGAAACTTGAAACCACCGAGGGGTCGAACCTCCAGGATGGTTATCGCCAGCTACACTGCCCGAGCTGTAGAACAACATAGTTTTGTAGGCAGAAGTTTTCGTGTTTTTTGTCCGTTTCTACAGTCCAGCTCGAGAAGCGACACATGTTTTTTTCCCAAAGCTCAACTGCACTGATTGAAACCCAGGTACACCTTTACCTTCGCCTAGCTGTGATATGCTGTGATGAAACTCAGGCATCCTGTTCGTGTCACCAGCCATGGGCGGCAAGTTTCGGGACTCGCCGTGCCCTGGCTACAATCATCCGGGGAACCCTCGTAGGTTCCTTTGATAAGGCATTGCAAGGCAAATGGTCAGGTCACGCTTCTGGAACACGCCTGCAAGCCTCACAACTGTTCGCAGCAGTTCCGGTGTTCCTAGAGACGATGGCAGGCATTGCCAAAGCAGCTTTGCTTTCACAGTGGATCGACTCTAGACCGCGAGATCCTGACGAAACATGGGGTCAGAGGATCTTGCAGATGTTAGCTTTTGGCGAGGTTTTTGGTGACATGAACCTCTCGGCTTTTCAACGAATCGTGGACGTTCCCCTTAGTCTTGTTTTCGCGGCTACCACGAGAACTAAGATCGATCGAAGCCCCGACCCGGAAGCCAAAGTGCTAAACTCTCAGCTTCCGGGGGGAAACGAAGCTCGCACCATGGGGGCATCGTTTCATGCCGGCCACGATGTATGACTCACAGAAGGTGTGGATCGTTTCGGGGTTGTACCTGTTTCGTGTTCGCGTCGCTGTATATATATATATATATATATATATGGGTATATATATATATATATATATATGTATGTATATGCAGGCATAGCATGTACACACTGTACACACATACATATATATATATATATATGCATATTATGTATATACCATATATATATATGATATAATATTGTATATATATATATATATATATATATACGATGCTAAGGCTCCGGCCCTGGCATGGCTGGTTCGAGGCTGCCCGGCCTGGGTGGGCTTCATAGTTAGAAGAGGGTTTTGGCGGCCCATTATGCTATAATTATAATAAGGAACCCCCCAAGTGGTAGGGTTTGGGATAGCTTCCTCCTGGGTATGGATGTGGGAAGGGTAATTCTTGGACAGCCTCCGCACAAGGGACAGTTGCCGTACTTCAAGCGGTGCGTCTCGCATGATGGCAGTATGCATGTATGGATATGTGTGTGTGTATGGATTGGTAATTGGTGGATGTATGGATGTATGTAAGGATGGATGGACGGATGGATGCATGCATGCAGCTGCATCTGCATCTCTGAAACTATGCAGCTGTCTATCAGTGCAGCTTGCATGTATGTGCGGCCTATGTATGCTTGCATGTATGTATGCATGTACGGATAGATAGGTAGGTAGGTAGGTAGATGGCATACGTGCGCATTTGTGTGTGTGTCATAGGAAGATTCTCCGCCCCAAGCTCGGACTTGGATGCTGTTGGGGAGTTGGAGTTGAAACTTCGAGGTCACAATCAACCCCCCCGAACAGCAACGAAAAGAACTCAGTAGAGATGTCAAATTATCTAGCACTCCGACAGAACAAGATTGAGGTTATGACGGCCATCACTGTCTTCTTCGTCCTGGAGATGTCCTTGCGCATGCTGGTTCTTGGCCCGGCCAGGCAGCACAACACTGCTGACGCGTGAGGAAACATGGTAAGGAGCTCCGTTTCCGTCGGTGTTCGCGTAGCAATGCCAGGAAGCAGCAATAGCAGTAGCGGCACTAATCGCATGTTACCATCGGTACGCACATGTGCACACGTGACACTATTCTCCGCAGCAACGATAGGTGGATGGCAGACCTGGCGGAGTGGTGAGACTGGTGGTGCTGCCAGTGATGGGGACGTGGTGAAGATGCTGATGATTGGTTAACTAGGCTGATGTTTATGCTATGATGGTGATGGTGACGATGATGAGTACGATGCGTGCGATGCTGACGGCAACAGTGAACAACAAGAACAACAACAACAGCTGCTGCTGCTGCTGCTACGACTACGACTACGGCTGCCACCACCACCACCACCACCACCACCACCACCACCACCACCACCACCACCTCCACCTCCACCTCCACCTCCACCTCCACCTCCACCTCCACCACCGCTGCGACTACGACTACCATAGACTACCATCACTACGACGACGATGACGACGACGACTACTACTACTACTACTACTACTCCTGCTGCTGCTGCTGCTGCTGCTACTGCTGACACTACTGCTGCTGGGGGTTTAGTCAGGTTCCAACAGACCCACACACACACACACCACAACGAGCATGACGCAATGCAGTAGCCACAAGACGGGACAGAAGTGACAAGCGCATGTGCTTGCGCAAATACTGCAGACAGAATCAAACTAGGACTGGGAGTCAGTAGAACATATCAAACTGGTTTGATCACCAGAGTCGTCTCCATATTGCCCAGGCTCAGGAGACTAAGAATCCTCGTCAAAGTAGTTCCGACGTGTCGGATGCTGGCCAATCGCAATACAGACGACATTCGAGAAATGCAGATGTACTCATGCAGTGACTAGATTCCAGATTTCCGACTTGCTTCAGCTAATGACGAGCTTGGGTGGGGGCTACATATATCCGGCCAGGTTTTGGTACAGATCTCCACATCGGAATCGGTTCGACTTTGTGAGCAATGCCATGCTCATCATCATGGAGGTGGCCGCTTATGTTGCTCGGCCATTTGTCCGTGCTCTGGCTTGGTCCTACAGGAGCAACCCTCCGAAACACTGAGGTTGAGCGAGGTGGGAGAAAAAACAAACAGGGAGGCTGAAAGACGCCCTGCCTGACTTTAGGTTTTGGGCCCAGAGAGGTTTTGAAGCTCTGCTGGGCAAAGTCGCGAGTAGGGCATGAGGGCGATAGTTAAAGGCACTTTGTGCTTGGTCGTCCAGTTGCGCGGACGTGCGCTCCTGGCCCCCGGAACTATACTCAGAACCTGCAGCTTGCGTGCAGCAGTGGCACAAGTGACGAGGCAAGCAACAGCATGCACTGTGCTGGCCATTCCAAGGTTTACACCAGCTTTCACACGAAGGCACCGGACTATCTTGTCCGCACGGATTCTTGGACTGAAGTATCAAAGCAAAGAAGACATCCGTGGATAGGACCCAGGTCGTGCACCCTCGACACAGCTTGGGGGAAGCAAGTCTTGTATGCGACAAACATTTCACAGCCGTACCTACATCCATCACTCATCCATCCGTACATGAAAACGTACATACATGCATGCATAATACTGCATGCACATCTACAGTACGCATATGATACATTACTGCATATCTGATGTACCTGCCTACTATAAAACTAGATACAAACGATATGTATGCATTTGTATGTGATATGCAGGTAGATGTGCGTATCTATGCTGCGAGAACGTGTAACAATATGTGTATACATACTCATATATATATATATGTATATAATTATGCATACAGGTAATCTTTGTGTATGCATATATATATATATATATATATATATATATATATATGTATACACACATATATATATATATATATGTATATATATGCACGTGCACATTTACACATATGTATCACTGCGCTCGCTCCTTGTCCGTGTCCCACAACTTCTTGACGAGCCAGTGCCTTCAACATGGTTTGCAATTCCCTCTTGTCTGAAACGAAGGCTTTGTCAGATGGCCAAGCCCTGTATCGCCTACTTCAACATAGCTGAGCCCTAGGCCCCTACAGGTGCACAAACCTGCATCGCCCTCAGCTCCAATCCCCCTTCGCCCGAAGCCGCCAAGATCCTGGTGATCCACATCATGCGGAGCGTCTGCCTGGCACAGCGCCTCAAGCCGCTGCGCTACCTCGTCGCCTTGGTGGGCTGATTTGTGACACTGAAACACTGAAACACGAGGTCTTAGGTGGCATCTCAGGTGTTTGGGCGATTCATGTCTGCCTGTCTAGGTGCCATTGCTTGTAGGTGCTGTGATTTCAGCGATTGACGCATGGGGTATTTGGATTTCAAGAGGGCTGCCTGTTGTCGATGGAGGGGATGCAGTTTGCAAATGGGATTGAGAGGTGTTGCGCCGGTGTGAGGGCGAGTGTGGAATGGTTGTGGGTTGTTCTGAGCTTTTGGCAGAGCTCGTGTCGCATCCAAGGGAAAGGAAACACACGAAAAAACACGCAAGATGGCAAGGTTCGTTTACGTTTACATACACACAATGGGCATGTGTACATATGCGTGCAGACAGAGCTGGACGGATGCACGTGTTTGCGAATGTTTGTGCAAGTGTACGCACCCTTCTTCATGTTTGGTTTGTGTAGGACTTGCCGACGTAACCGTGTGTAGGTACAGATGCAGGTCTGCATGCACATGGGTTCCCACATGTCATACTCGTAAGTCGTAAGTCAATCAGACACTGTCAGCCAACAACAGATAAACTAATAGCTGCGAGGTGTGGCATTGCAGCCTGCTACTTTCCCCGCCCTCCCCCTGAAAGTAACAGCGCCGGCCGTGAGCAGTAACAGCAACTTCCTCTGAATCATGTCGGGCCACGCCCAGCTTACGACATGTACATGTAGTTTCGAAAAGTCGATTCATGGCACAGATCACGGCAGTCGTTGCTGGCCCTGCCCATGTCAAAAAACTTATGTCTCGAGCCCCGACAGGTGGTGCGCTTATTGCCTTTATACTCTCGCTTGGGTATGGTTCTGCTGAGCACGCACCTCGTCACATCCCGCCGTCAGCCGATCAGGATAGGTGTGAACCCTCCTTAAGTAATGCGGTGCATTCCGCATGACGGCATGTTCGCATTATTCGTCCGGAGGAAGTAGACAGACTTGCTCGGCGGTTGCCACTGCAGCTCCTTCTGAGGTTTCTCGAACTTCTTCCATCTCTGATCGTAGTTGTAGCTCTCTTCTCATCAGCTTGCACGCATGTTCTGAAATGTCGATTCTTCATCGGGGCTAGTAGTGTAACTGTTTTTGTGCAGTTCTGTTGTTCGGTTTCGGATGTTCTCCACGCAGGGCAGGACGTTTGGCAGAGTATCGGACCCCGAGGCTTCATGTCGTGTCCTTCTCGCTGCTTATAAGGGCCTTCATGTAAGTGCCTCAATAATTGGATTAGGGTTCGGGGTATCTTGTGGTTTCACTATGAAGGGATTATAGCGGGAAAGTACTTCTAACTAGTCAGACCCCTACATGAGCTTATCCTTGGGACTGACTTGGAAGCATGTGCAGCATCTCACTTTCGCTTGCTTGTAACACGTTCCCCCAAAGCTCTCAGTTCATGGGGTTCAGACGAAAATGTGACAAAAGTGGCAGCTAGCTGCCAAAGTTGTGGTCTGTTGTGGACGCGGAGGGTAGAAAGAGCCGAGGTTCTACATTTTCGCCACCATTGGGGCAACACGGCCGCACGAACTGCCAAAGGCATCACCCGCCTTTCCCAAATTCGAGCCCAGTCTGTGTCGATAGCCAGGTCTCTGTTTCGGTTTTGTCTGATGCGCTGGTGAGTTGTAGCATCTGGTCTGAGGAGCCTCTATTCGGAGGACGGCTTTACAAAGGGAATCCACAGAACCTTGGCAGCAGAAAATTCGCTGTACTGCCTGCAGTACTCCACCCACGCCTTTCTGTAGAGTCACACCTTATGCTTGTAGCTGCGTGGGCTGATGGAGGCCAAGTCCACAGAGGAATGATGTTGTCTCTATACCGGAGTTTCGCAGGCACGCATCTAATGCGACAGCTGCAACGCACTCGCGTTTGGCAGCCACAGCTTCTGAGGAGTTAGGCAGTTCGATTTGCTACAGAGCGCGAACGGCAATGTGTCAGGTAAGCAAAATGTAGGCCACGGTGTAGCTTTCAAGCCCCTGCAAGTGAAGTTAATGCAGGCTGGGAGACTGTTGAGTCGTCTTCTATAGGGCCTATAGGGTATCCTGGAGTTATACCGACAAGGTCCCGTGACAGAGCCAAAGCTTCAAGACTTCTCTACCTTGTGACTGGGTGGAACCTGCAATGCTTGCTCAACCTGTCATGTGGGAGTTCCAAACATAAGGGGTACCTTAGTTTGGGGTCCTTGTAATAAAGATCCTACTATACTTAGTGTACTATATTAGGGTCCCTGTCCCCCATTTTCGGACACTCCCATGTGGAGCTCTACCAACCCAGGCTTGAGGACTCTTTCTTCGCAGCTTCACATTACTGGGCCTTGAACTTCAACGACATCCTCTCAGGCGCATCGTGGCAATCAGCCTTCAGTGCGCAACTGCTCCGTTGGGGGGGGGCACATTTCCGGTGCAGGTTTTGTCACGCTGTTCTCCATCATGATCGTCAACAACTGGTTTGTGACTGCTCTGATGTCCGGATCGTGTATCAAGCTTTGCTGTTTCAAGGCGCAAGATTCTTGTGGATGGATGTTCAATATCCTGAAATCCCAGGTTCAGGAGGGTGCAAATCCTGCTTCAGGTTTGAGCGACTTCCTTCAGTCCTGTATTCACTCCGTGCGTAATACCGACCGATTACCTGTAACTGTTCATGCCACGGGTTCGAGACTTCGTTGAGCGAAGTGTCTTAGCTGACGAGCCTACTGACCCGCACCGAATTGCTGCTCACGCTGTCCCCTGTCGGTTGGAGCGATTGCAGACATGATGTCCAATAACTTTCCGTGCTTCTCAGAAGAGTGCTAGACTGTGACACTTTTATGTGCGGCCGCATGCCGCATCAGACTTTCTGGGCATGGGCGCCGTCTGATCTCGAGGTGATAGCTGGCGCCTGCATCCTGGTGACGACGGCATACTCTGCGATTTTCTTTATCTGCTTTTTTGCCACTTGCTGCAAATGCAGACTGCAAGACGTGGTTCCACCGTAACTTGCAGCGGCCGCAATTTCCAAGCTTTGCGGGTTTCGGGGTGTTACACGGCTCTCCGATGTCCCGGTGAGCACGATCCCTCTCACAGACGGGACTTGTGTCCTGCCGAGGCCTGCGGGGCGAATTGAAACAACGAGGTTGTTCTATGCTGTTAAGAGTCTTCTGAAAGATATCTCAGACAAAAAACGGACTTGCCTTCGGCTTTTGTTGGGACATGTCGCTTCTAACAACTCCCTACAATCAAAGGCTTGCATGGTGTATCAGGAGTAAAAGGCCACCAGGTACACCCGTGGATGCATCAGCTCCTATGGCCCTATGGCTTTGCCGCTGTTTTTCATGTGCTGCCGGGACGAGCCCAGGTGATAGTCAACCTCATTGTCCTGAACATTCTGATTGCTTTGATCTTGGAGTCCTCCCAAGCCGTCCGTGAGGACACGGGGTGTCGCAGCAGTAGTGGCAGCGATGCATCCCCATCTCCTGGGTTCCAAGCTCAACAGCTGACAGCCTGCTTCATCGAAGAATCAAGACATCCTCAGATTGGTCTCTTTGCCTTCCTCTCCTGCGATGTTCAAAAGGCCCCCAACCCTAACAGAAAAACCTTCGCCTTCCCGGAGCCACAGGAGCTCCAGGGACCCATCGAGGAAGACCTGAGCCTGGAAGATGCCCAGCAGATGCCAGGTACGCACCAGGGGCGCATGTGGCTTGGGAAGGTTTTAAATGCGGGCTCTAAGTAGGTTGGGGGAGGTTTGGGGAAAGAGACTTCGGGTATCTTCGGGTAGTATATCTAAGATTTTGGGGTTCGTGGGAGTGCTGTCTGTTCTTTGGAAGTTATTTGGCTGCTTTCGATGTTTTCTTGGTGCTCGAGAGCTATTCGCAATGTCTGAGAGCGAAATCCTCCCGTTTTCCGCCACGAACGCTCTACACTGATGATAGCTGTTCCCCATTTCAGTCATTCCCTAGGCCCTAGAATCTACTGAACCTCTATGTAAACCTTACCAGTTGGATTCCTGTACCACGACGGTGGCAACCCCGAGCCCCACACAAACACGAAAGCGATGATGGCATCCTCTAATCATAGTCCTCCTACAACTTTACTAGTTCTAGAACAGGCCCCTAAAGCCTGTCCAGCTTGCTCGGGCTCCTGTATGAATAACCCTGGCAGGCAGCCGCGAAGTTCTCCTCCAGCGGATGCTGATGAGCGCCACGGGGCTGCAAGGGTTTCAAGCCTTGGGCTTTGGCTTCAAGGTGTTCAGGGTTGGAGATGTTTCAGTGTTCATTGCTCAAGCTCCTGGTTCTTGTTGAAGATTGTAGGGCCCTTGCCTGTAAGGAAGACCACTCCAAGCACAGGGGATCAGCCTCGCAGGACTTGCTTCAAGCGGTTCTGCTCTGTCCGTATCTCTCTCTCTCTCTCTCTGTCTCGCTCGCTCTCGCTCTCTCTGTCGCTCGCTCTCTGTGACCCTAACTCCATCTCTCCGTTTGTCGCCTGGTCTGTCTTTGTCTACGTATTTGATGCCTTCAATCAGTTCGTCGCTCTGGCTTCTCCTGCGATGATTCTCCGGATCGCTGCAATTGGGGAGCTGATTGGTTGCGTGCTTCTCGATTGAAAGCAATCCTCTAGGTTTGCTTACGAAGCTAGCTTGCAGCATGATGTTCTGCAGGACCTGATGAAGTACACCTCCGAAGGACAGCAGGGGTCGCAGACTTCAAAATCATGAGACTTCTCTTACGTTCGGGGTGAGTTTCTGACCGCTCTACCGCAGCTGCTGAACGGTATGTCACGGTTCAGAGGAAGTCTAACTTGTCGTCCGTGCGTGCATCGTATACACAATGCCCCACTGCGTGCAGGTCCTGGATAGCAGGACTCAGCTGCTGCACTAGCCCCTCGTGAAAGGATCTAGCTTCCAGTCCTCAAGCCCCGAAGGCCAGATCCTCGTGAATGGTGAGACCACCAGCGCGGAGTCCGAATCTGGATCGACAGATGGCTCGGAGAAGTGACCCCAACCGGAACTTCTTAAATTTCGATCTGTCTACCTATCTGTTTGGCCACAATCGTGACTGCGAAGCAGGCTGCCAACTGTAAAATGTCCGCGATGCTCAAAGTCAGCATCTGTACAGTACCAAGGATTTGCGTTAGACGCGGAGGTTAAAGTGCCCCTGTCTGCGCGCCGTGTCGGTGTCGGCAGGTTCGTGCAGACCTACTTCGTGTGTATATACATCCACACACACCCACACCCACACCCACACCCACACGCACGCGCGCACGCACGCTCACTCACTCACTTCTCACTCAAAGGCTCACTTACTCAGTCAGTCACTCACGCCCACGCCCACTCGCTCCCTCACTCACTCGCTCGATATCATGTGTCGGTATGTGCGTACACGCAGCACGTCAATAATTCATCAAATGGATTTTCTGTAAAGTTAACTTGTCGGAGCATATATATACTAACACCTATATATACAGACACATACAATGAATATATACACAGAATGCATACATACATACTTAGTTACATACAGTACATACGTGCATGCATGGGTTTACGGATGTAGGTAGAGAAGTAATTAGGTAGGTAGGCAAGTATGTGCTAGCGTGTGGATGTGTATACATATATATATATATATATATATATATATATATATATATATATATATATATGTATATATATATATATATATATATATATATATGCGTGTGTGTATATGCATACTCATGCAGACTACAGTGCCCCAAGAATTGAGATATAGTGCATGCGTTTACATGCGACATATTTCTTTTGCCTGAGCAGACAGAGCAAGAAATGAATCTTCGCCAGAGAGCTAGCAAGACAAGAAAGACTTAAGCATAACCTATAATGCATCAGCTGTGCCCGAAAACAGCCCGAGACCGACGAGTTCCAATTCTTGAATATGCATTGCAGCGGCCTCGTGTACTGGTCAGTCTGAAGGATGCTGCAATGTTGTAAATAGTAAGGGTCAAGAGCAAAAGCTGCGGTTTCAAGAGGTTTCCTTCTCCACACCGGACCTACTTCAAGCATCGGTGCCTGGAGGAAGCAGATGCAGTGCAGATGCTTGTCCGGTCCCATCATGGTACACCGCTAAGCAGACTCAACTGACCTGGCATCTCGGAGCTCCCTTCGATCTCAGCCCCGGCCCACTGGCAGCGTTTGTGGCTCGCATGTGCCAGGGAAATATTGCACAGATCGGTTTGGCTACGCGATCGGCCTTTGCACCTCGCCCCACATTCCGGCCGACCTTGGCATGAAGGGCCGTGTTGAAGGCCCATAAGCCATAAGCTCAGAGCACCGCAACCCGTACTGTAGCTGTGCCACAGCCACAACCCACCCCTGCGAACCTTGCTTCACACCGTAGCCTTAGTTGTCAGAATCTATAGGCTTGAGAAGCCCAGCATCCTTGCTGCGGTCCAGCTGTGAATGGCAAGCTCAAGGCTTCCTCGCCCCGAGATTCCGTGGGTTTCGGCTCGTAGCCTTCAGGAGACTTGGGGGGTTGCAAAAGGGATGACCTGGGTGAAGTATGGGAGTTTCCGAAAATAGGGGTACCTTATTCTGGGGGACCTTATAAGAAGGATCCTACTATTTAGGGTGCTATATTAGGGTCGCCTATTTTCGGAAACTCCCGTCTCTATTTCTTGGTTGGATAGAATTGAGGGCATGCAAGTCTTCCAACGCCCTGGCACGCCTCGGGAGGGTGTCAACTATGATTCTGTTGGTTGCAGTTGGAGTTTGACGGGCTTCTTCTGGACATCTACGTACAAGATCATCATGTACTCGCGTGTTATCCTCAAGTGTGTGCCATTCACCAACATGCTTACGACAAGTTCGGGCTGATCTACCTTTTCAATCAGGTCTCAGAAGCTAGGAGCGCTGTCACGAGCAGAGTCCTAACTGGCGGAAGAGCGGCAAACTAGCAGGCGTCCTTGCATGCAAGCCTGCTGCAGAACGGGTTTCCTTCAAAAAGGAGTCCAGGGTCGGAGAAAGGGTTGAAGGGCTTGCCTCTGTTGAAAGGCCGGCATTCGCTAAGTCCGCTGCTGAGGTTTGAGGGTAAGCCGCACTTCTGGATTCCACCCTGAGCCCTGTGAAATCCTCAGCTCAGGGCTGAGAGTCTTGAGCTCACAGCGCAGAGGACCTATTATCGTATTACCCCTGAGCTCGAAAGCGCACCTTAAGAAATGGTTGACGGTTTAATGGTTAACGAGTGGGGAGGAAACCCGACTGTTTGGGTGCCAGAGTATATCGGTAAGCTTGCTTGGGAATTTCCGGCGTAGGGGTATTTGTGATCTTTACAGAGGACTCGGAACGCAGAAGCCTGGGGACGGTATCTCGAGCGCTGCCCTCAACAACTCCTCGCTTCAACTGCGATCGGCCAGACTGTCGATATTGAACCCCACGGCCAATTTCCGGAAGCTTAGATGGCGGAATGGCAAAAACGCAGAGAATCACAAAAATGCCATCGGAACAAACCTCCACGCAAGCCCAAGCCTGCACACTCCGAAGCCACAAATTCGCGCTGCTGCGCTGCGAGGCCTCCAGATGTCGAGGCCCTGCTTGGCCACGGGACTTTGACGCCCCAAGCCGGGCCAAGCGTGCCTCTTGGCTCATGGAATGGACTCAGAGTATATACTTTGAGGGACTTAGATTAGCATAGGCTTTCTCTTCGAACGAAACTCAGTCATTCTTTGGGGGCTAGGCGTGGAACCTACTCATTGCTCCCAGTCTATATTTCGATATTATATCATATGTGATCATATGCGTGTGTATGTATGTATATATATGTATATATTATCATTATATACTTATGCATATATGTATCTATGTAGATGGATGGGGAGATTTAAGCGGACATGGTTACACATATCATGGACTTCGTCGCGGGTCCCGCAGGCCCCCGCTGCGCGCGGTGGTTCCGTGGCTCCCGCTGGACACTCCGACTCATAATGTTACAGTATTGCGATATGATATTTCATATTAATACGTCTACACTAGTTGCAAGCTTCATAAGATTGCTAATGTAACTCATAGTGATAATATCAATCATATTTCTAACCTTATGAATATGTTCACGATTAGCAGTGTTCTTTCCATAACCTTGGTCGCCGCTTCCTGGAGACTGTGCGCTTTGCAAAAAAACTTCGTTGGCCCTCCTGAACGTGACGAATCTCGCTCCTTGTATAGTCCAATGCTCATTTGGCTTTCAATTCACCCTAAATCGCTAAAGTTCTGGTTGCCCCGTTGTTGCAAGGGCTTTTTGGCTTTCCAAAGTTGGCAGTCGTGCTGCCGCCGCATTGCTGCGCGTATTTTGGGTGTGCATTGTCTTCCTATCACCCGAAGTCTTGCTCCCGCCACAGCGACGCATAAGTTCTGTGACGAGAATGTTGGGCTCATGGTTGCTGCTGGAACGGTTCTCGAGTAAGGCTTGAACTGCAGGCGATGTTTCACTGCTTGGTGAGGACACTGGCATACAGTCTACGTAGGTTTGAAGGATACTGAGAGTTTTCCAGCCCTACTCATCGTCGGGGCTACATATATTGAGGAGTTGAGGAGAATTGGTGGAAGGAGTACCGGGCTTGAGGTGTACAAAAGCTTCTGGACAAATCTTAGACCTGTAGACATGACAAAGACATGCCGCCCAGATCGCCTCGTGGGTGAATGTTCCTGGTCCTTCTGGTGGCGGGGCTTTGCCTTCGGTGATTCAGGGCTTGTTGCTTAGCCGTGCCACGTTTTTTCAGAGCCAAGAAAACCCGCGGCACTGCAAAAAACCAAGCTCTACGTATCTCTACGTATCGCGCGACGGTTCGAAGATGCTCGACATCCGAGGACCTGGTGCTTTCGTCGCGTGGCTGTCTTTGCCCTGCTTGGTGCTGCTGCGCTTTCTGCACTGGTGGCCGGGAGGAGGAGGACGCGTGTGTTCAGCCCGGTAGAATGTTTATTTGCCTTTTTGGCAGCTGGAGGCTTGTCTTTCGGAGTAAAGGCACCACATGGCCTCACCAGTTACGATGCATGGCTTGTGGAGCTCCGAGGCAACCAGGACCGTCAGGAGAATCACTACCAAAGTGCCTTCCCCAAGTACTGGTGGAATTCCGGAGGCACGTGCCTTCCCCCAAGTACTGGTTAGGATGGCCAAGTTTGGACCACACTTTTGGCAGAATGTTCACTAGCTACTCGTTTGTTCGCATGTATTTTGTTTACCTGTCTATCTATCTGTCTGTCGGTGTGCGGGCATGTGCCTAGGCGGACCGGCACTATTCATCCTAAATCCAGGTTCCAATTAATTTTGTTACAGGGCTTACTAGAGCAAGTCTGCGAAATTGGACAGGAAATTGCTTTTGTTCAGCGAGGCGGGCCGCTTCTGATTGCTGAGGAAGCGAACGCTGTGTGACTTGCACAGCACAACTAAAACGGTGCCTCGATGGCCTTCGCACAGACCGTACCTGCATTGCCCTTTTTGTAGGGTGGATACTGTCTCTACGTTCATGTGGCATGCAGCGGGTTTAAATTAAAGGTGAGCTTGCAGTCGGAAAGTAAGTACTGGCGTCGCCTGATAGCTCCTGGACACTTGTGAAGACTTTACACCGGCCGAGTGTGCGACTTTGACGTATATACGAGGCAGAGAACCTTGTCGGTTTGGACGGCATTCCAGATGGGTGCTTCAAGCTTCTTGTCTGTGCATGATACCCACTAATTAGTCGATTAGAATTGGCCGCCGACAAGACATGACCTATTTCTTGCTGCTGGCTTAGAAGCCCGGTTAGAAGGCTCGCGTTTGCTCCACAGCTTCTCGACGCCAGGCTCCCCTCTCCCGTCGGGTCATCATGCGTAACTGATTGCACTGTTGCTCTTCGCTGCTTCATGCAGTCGGCCAATTTCGATCGACTTCCCATCGGTGCTCGGGCACACGACCCGACCCCCGCAGCAAACCCCCAGAAGCCGAAACACTTGCAACATCTTGGTCCGAGGCGCGGAATGTTTTATGCGGGCCCTCACAAGCTGGAGGGATCCACCCGCACCGTGGAGGCGGGGCACCTTGAAATCTCGCTGATGCTCGCATCCATCAGAATCCATGACGAACCCCTGCACTAGTACAAGTCTGCAGCAGCACCGTCTTTGTAGCATGTTGTGCCGCTTGCTTTTGAGCTGATGGTTATTGAAGGTGATAAATGTTTGTTCTGTCCACTAACACTTGTTGCTCACTCAGATGCTTTGTGTGACCCCGGCAGGGTTTAATTAGGTCTTTTTGCTGGCAACAGCACAGTTCTACGGCACCCGCCCGGGCTTCAATTAGTGCAGTCCGAACCAAAGCAAAGTCTATGATACCAGGTCATTCTAAATTGTGCATCTATTCTACAGTATAGTGTAGCAAACTGTGTTACATGAGAATCCTTAAACCCTAAACCCTAAACCCTGCCATTTTGGCTCAAGGCCCGAGGGTTCGCTCCGTCGTGTCTGCTGTGAGGAATAGGGAAAGGCCAGCGATTCTGCCGGCGGCTGCTGGTCTAGGGCTTCTACTACGTGATTCCGCGCAGTGACTACGGCTAGGCGGGGGGCTTCTTTGAGATTGCTGTGGTCTGCCTCGGTGCGATTAGGAACAAGGGCATGGCGGAACCAGGGGTCAGGCAGCTACACATTGGGCTGCCGGGGGTTCCTGATGGGCCCGATCTCGATCTTGATTTGGAGGGGGACAAGACCCGTCCTGCAGATCGCCAGCAGGGCAGTCCTCCTAAGAAGCACCGGCAGGAAGGAGAGCCGGGGGCGCCGGGATTGACCATGGATGCACTCCGGCAGCTTTTGGCAGAGCAATCTCACTCGTTGCTGCAGGCGCAGCAGATGCAAATGGCTACTTCCTTTCAGGCCTTCGAGGAACGCCAGTCGACTCGTCTGGATCACATTGAGACTAAGGTCACATCGCAGGGGTCCAAGATGGATGAGATGGAGAGCCAGCTCAAGGAGCTGGCGAGCAGGCTCTCGCAGGTGGAAGCGAGGCCGGCGGTGGCCACCACGACTGGCCCGGACAGGAAAACGACTTTGGTCTTCGGTGGTTGGGCAGAAGGGACTCGGAGACAGATCCTTCTCCAGCAGCTGCAACAGGCCTTGCAAGGGTTGGACCTGTGGGGATCCTTGGACTCAGCACCCTTCTGTACGGGAGCTCGACGATCAGTGGCCCTGTGCAATTTCAGGCGTCGGGCCCATGAGGGCTCGGATGAGCCCCGTGGCCGTATGATGCAGATCGTGCAAGCCATTAACGCCAGTCAGGTTACGATTACCGGGGCCCCCAAGCCACTTTGGGCTTCCTTCAGCAAGACGCCGGAGGAGCGGGGCAAGGCGGCTGTGGTCTCGGCGGTTCGCAAAGTCCTCCTTCGGCTGCACACGCCACGGATGAGTGACCTTGACGCTGAATACAACACTGGCAGGTGTTGGGTAAAGGATGATCAGCTGTCTGGCCTTGGCGACCCGCCGTCGGAGGTGCACCATGCCAGGGTGGTGGACACACGTGCAGGTAAAGCCTGGATCGACGAAAGGACGTTGGCCAAGTGGGTCGAGACCGACCTGTCCCAGGTTCAGCAGGTCCTTGAGGAACACCGCTTCTGAGAAGATGTTTGTACTGAGCTGATTGACGCCTTCCCATCGGGTGCTTCTCCATTGAGTTTACCGCCTGCTTCGGGTTCTGAACGGCTGCGTGCTGGCGTTGCCAAAGGGAGCGCTGGTTGTGCAATCTCAGTCTGGGGCTGGAATGTTGGCGGTGCGGAACTTTCTTCTCTGCCTAAGGCAGTCAAGGACGCTGGTCGGAAGGAGATCGAAAAAGAGGACCTGATACTGCTACAAGAAGTCCCCAGAGAGAAAGAGGGTTGGATGTACCAAGAACTTGCAGGCAGAAGGGTTGTATCGCATCGGGCAGAGCGTCAGTGGAGAGGGACAGGGCTGTGGTATGACAGTGGCACGTGGTGTGTTCTTCGTAAACTCTTCACCAACAGGGGCACATGGTTCAAACTCAAACACCTGGAACGACCCGTGGAAGTTTGGATTGGTACTGCTCATTTCTCTCCCGGAGTCCCGGTGTCACAGTACGAGGAAGAGGTGCACAACCATTTTACACCTCTGCCGCAGAACGCACACAGGGTTGTCTTTCAGGGGGACGTCAACACTCCCTTTGGCTGGTCGGCGCCTTCCTCTGGGGAGATTGCAGAGGTGGCGAAGGAGGGTAAGGGTAGCATCCTGCACAAGGTCCTTACGGAGCGTGGGCTCCGTCTTCTCTGCCCCTCGGAATCTCAGCTCACAGTTCCCACTAGCAGACCCCGGCAAGAGAACAGGGATGGGCAGTGCATTGATGTCATGGCGGTGAGTCACCTCAGGGTCAAATACTGGCACATTCATGTTGACTCCTATCTCCAGATTGGCACCGACCATGAGCTTTGTGAAGGGTGTCTTGTACTTGATGCTAAGCGCAACCATCACAGGCATGAAACACAGCCGAGAGTTTGGACAGGTCAGCTTCGTCAGATTTGCGGGATGGACCAGGGGGTTATTGAGTCATTGGCGCGGACCCATACCAAACCGGCCCCGGGACAGGGGTACAAGGACCCCAGCGAGGTCCGCAAGGCTTTCAGGGATGCCAAGAGATCAGGGACGGCGGCCGCGTGGAAGGGTGCACTTAAACTTCGGAAAGACGCCCGGAAGCATTGGGAGTGGGAGCGGCTACAGCGGGCCAGCCAGGGAGATTGGAAGGAGCTGCGGGGCCTGAAGCCATGCAGGCACGCGGGCTGGGATATCAGTTTTGCGGAACAGCAAGCAGGGGATCCACATGAGGTCGTGCACAGACACTTGGCCGCAGTCTACTCTGGAGCAGGGGTCCCGGAAGAACCACAAGCATGGACGGGTGAGGTGAGGGCCTTTAGCATGGAAGAGCTCAGGGTTGGGGTCCAACATCTCAAGCGAGGGAAAGCAGTTGGTGCTGATTTGACGTCTACGGAGCTCATCCACCGGATCATGGAGGTAGAGGGTGGGCCCCAGCACCTTCTTGAGTGGTACAACAGGATTCTGGCTACAGGGATCATTCCTCAGCGTTGGAACGAACCTATCCTCATTCTGCTCCCCAAGGTACGTGCCCCTAAGGCTGCAAAGGAACTTCGTCCTATCGCTATGGGTTCAGCAGTTTCCAAGCTCTTCAGCAGGCTCCTTCTTAACCGCGCGCTTCCCTTGATCTCGCCGCAGTCCTACGCACAATGCTCTGGGCCGGGACGACAGACCTCTGATTTCCTCTACTCCATTATCAGGTTGTTTGAACTCACCCGTGAATGGGGCAACCCGTTGGTGGTTTTCAAACTCGATTTGGAGAAGGCCTTCGACAGTTTAGATCGTCAGGTCCTTTTGGAGAAGTTGGAGGCAAAGATCGGGCAGGGTGCGGAACTGCATTGTTGGAAAGGGTTACTCCGGGGGACCACGGGCATTCTGCAGACCCCCTGGGGATCGTCGAGGGTGCCGATGGGTCGAGGGATAAAGCAGGGAGCGGTCGAGAGCCCAGTCATCTTTGCGTACATTGCTGAACTTGCACTGCTGGATGCTGTCTCCTTGCACGGATGGCGCAATCTGAATCCTCTATTTCCGGATCTCTCCCCAGAAGAAATGCTGTATATGGACGACGGCATGTTATGGAATGGGTTGACTTCCGTGGTTCAGAGCCGTGCTCAACAACTCTCAGTGGAATTCTCTAAGTACGGGTTGAAAATGAATGCCGCCAAGTGCCAGCTCTACACTACGCCCAATGTGGAGGGTGAGCACGCCATCTACCTGAATGGGGTTCGCATAGAGGCAGCGTCGCACCTTGAGGTTATGGGCCTCTCTCTTCGGGTCGGCATGTCCACCTATGAATTGGTGTCTCCGGCCACAACCAGGGCTAGGGCAAAATTCTGGGAGCTACGCCACATCTTCAGGGCAAAGGGCAACATGAAGCAGCGAGCAAGGGTCATGGAGCGCATCATCGGAGGGACGGCGTTATGGTTCATATGCTCGGTTCCCCCTGACAAGGCTACCATGACGGCGCTTAACTCGGCACAACTCCAGCTAATGGTTTGGTTGCTCCGCTTTGCAAAGGCTCGGGATGAAACGTGGGAAGACTTTCGTCAGAGGGCATTCCGAGGGGCCAGGGCGGCTTTGCATGCGGCGGGGGTTGAAAGGTGGAGCACGGTGTGGTTGCGCCGGTGGTGGAGCTACGCGGGCCATAGGGTCCGCACAGTCCTGTCTCAACACCCTCCAATTAGTTGTCACTTTGAACACTTCAGAACCCTCCCCTGGTGGTTGCATCAGCAAACCCTCCCACCATCACGTGGCTTGCGGCACAAGGGACACCACTACGCCAGACTCACGGCTCTTGAAAAATCCATGGATCAAGTGGCCGGACACCCCTGGCGAGTCCTTGCACACAACAGACAAGCATGGAAGCAACGAGAGAACGAATGGGTGAGGGTTATGGATGTTCCGTGGTCTTCGGGGAGGCAGATGGCGCTGCGAAACGACTAGAAGTGAGAGGGTCTATGTGCTACACAAGTTAGTGCGACTTTATTGTGATGCTTTCTGGCATAGGTGTCTGTCCTCACACGGGTTGGTACAGTACTGATGTGTGAGTGTGAAGTCTGCCCTGCCCCGCCCCCTCCCTACCTCTGAGAGGTGCTGGAGTGGTGCTGGTGAGATGCATGTGTCTCTAGGGCTCAGGGTTGTACAGTTCTGGCATGGCTGTGGTACCGAGTTTGTTTGCTTGCTATGTGAAGGCCTTGAAACCCTGACTGCAGCGATCGAGCGACCTCGTGTGACTCTCGCGCCTGCCTAGCGCCCGCTATGGCACTCCATATCTTCATGTTCTACCTGCTGGCCGGCATGGCCGATGCAGCTGGCGACACTCCGAACGGAGACTTGCCATCCATGGACTCTCCTAGGGAGCCTTTGACAACGGAGGTCGTGATGACCACCGACGGCTCGGTCCTTCCACGGATGTTTGGAAGCCTGAGCCCTTCACCCACTACTCCGGACGAGACAATGACGATGTCTGGAGGCATGCCTGAATTCATTGACCCGGCTGCCCTTACAGCTGATGCCTCCCGTGGCTCTTCAAGCTCGATGAGCCCACCTCTTGACCTTCCGCGCGATTCTGCTGAAGAACACCCTGGTCGGCGGGAGCACGACCCCCAGAGGCACCACGGCTACCCGATCAACCGGAAGACCCAGGTGATCTGCGATCCTCCTGCATGGTTTACGTCGGCCACTGCACGTCTAGAACAGCTGCGGCGGCAAGGCGAAGGACAGGAACCAGTTTGGTTAGCTGTGCTCCGGAGAGTTGAACATAGAGCGAACCCCCACTACCTCCAATGGTGTCGCACTTTCCTTCGACCTCTACGGGCTCACTTCAGGTCGCGACTCGAATGGCAACTGTACACGCGGCCCCTTTCTACCGCTGAGATCCAATGGGCCCGAGATGTCGAGCTTGCCACAGCACAGGACTATGCAGCTTCGTGCCCTTCGGGTAGAGGACTGGTGATGCGGGCGATCCCGCACCTGCCCACGGACGACCGCATCCTGGCTCAGGTACCACAACCACAACCAACGGAGGCGGACCCCATGTTCGGCATCTTCCAAGCAGCTTGGGTTAACACCCGCCGGGGCACTTGGGGCCCCTCGGGGACTAGTGACCCTGATGCCCAACGGCAACCTGCGGAGGACGAGACTGTGGGCTGTGAGGAAACTACGGAGTTCACTAGCCTGCTCACTTTGAGTAGAGGGGCGCCCTTCATGTCTCTGCTTCAGGGGGTTCTGGCTGTGGACAGACCGTGGCAGGGTAACAGAGTTCCGTATTGGTTCGATGATATGGCTGAGAGGGTTGAACTCATGCTGGACAGGGGGATGAAGATGGAGACCTTCATGGAAGTTTTCGGGGACAGGTTCGCAATGCACTACGACGGGCGGTTCTGCGAGGAGGTCACCACCACGAGGGATGAGTTTGAACGACGGCTTCGCAGTTACCGACAGATTGAAGGAGACCCTGTCATCGAACGAATGGGGCGACCTACGGAGGGGGAGATTGAAGACATGGCCGGCTGGTGCTTCCAACAGATCCGAACACGATGGCTACGGGAATGTTGCCCCGAAGCCATGGCCAACATGGAGCATGAGGCAAACCTGGCAGCGCATGGCTTTGTGGGGATCACCGTGACGGCCGACCGCCAACGACGCGAACAACGAGAAAGGGATCGGTTGTCTAGGTCGAGGACACCGCATAGACGAGGCAGGGAAACTTGGCGAATGGAGACAGGGAACCCCTCGGATGATGAGGCTGGCCTTTTCCAACTTCCGGCAGGGGGACAGACTCGCTGGGAGCGCCTCATCGAGCAAATGTGGCAGTGGTTTGAAGAAGGGAGGGCAATTGGTATGGCTATCTGCATGCTTCGATCTCGGGCTATGTCGAGGCAGGAAGCCGCATACCTGGAGTGGGTCTTGCCACCCATTGCTACATTGGGGGCTGGTTTCCCCAACTCATCGGGACAGGATGAGTCCACCACGCCGCAGAACTTCTACGACTGGGCGCGAGAGATTGAGGAGCACCTCTACGGGTACTACCAGGCGGCAATGGAGGGACAGTCTGACGAGGCACAGGGGCGGGTCAACCACACGTCGGGGGATGACAGTAGCATGATGGAGCGGGATCGCTATCGCAATGGTAGACGTCGGATCAGGGATTCGAGGACACCAAGGCGCAATGCTCAAACTCGACAAGGCGGAGGTACAGATGCAGGGAGAGAAGCCAGACTCACGCGGATCAGGGAGCGGACGATCAGGAGGACCAACGTGGCTACGACGACTCCAACAGCTGGGGAGGCAAGTTCCGGCTCAGGTGGAAGATGCCACGAACCTGCCTCTGGGTCGAGGGACCCTGCTCCAGTTACCTTGGTGGCACGTCCGACTATTGCTGGCTTCCCCAATGTGACGCAGCCCATGAGCTCTGACCAGGCGGTGAACCTATGGCGGTATTATCTCTTTGATAGGGAGCACTTTGGACCACGTCTTGAAGGCAATGCTCGGGTCCCCTCGAGCTTCCTCCCGCCACGAATGCTTCGGGAGATCAGTGCACAGCATGAGGCCATGACGGTCCAAAACAGGTTGGTCTCCACCTGTGCTCTGGTGACAGTCCTTCGATATCTGATGTCGGAGCTGAGCCAGACTTTGGACGTGGCAGATGCAATTGCACGATCCAGGGTGAGTGACACAGTTGAAGTACCGGTCGAAGAAGAGGGTGATGATGATGCCAACCTCCTCGTGCAAACCTTCCTCCTCACTGACGGCAAGGACACTATGGAGAGCCGTTGGCGCCGAGCAATTACACGCCTCCACAAGGAGCTCCTGCAACAACCGGGCTCGATTCAGCGCCTACATGTTCGTATGATTCAACAAGGCATCCCGCCTCTTGTGGCTGGAGACTCGTGCCAATGGGTGGCGCAACTGCAAGCGCTGTTGGTGGCGCTTGAAGCGGACCTCGTCGGGAGTCCTGTCGCTGGGGAGGCTGACGCCCACCTGGATTGGCTTATGGGATGGGTGAATGAAATTGCTGCGTTTGTCCCGGGCTTCCTCTCGGAACCGACTCCTCTACAGGTTGACTCGCAGAGCACGGCTCCTGGGCCTACTGTTGCAACGGATGCAGATGATGAGCTGCTGCAACTGCTGGAGGACGAGGATAGTGAGCGACGATGGCAGGATCAGCGTGCACGTGAAGAGGCGGAAGAACGTCGCCGACTCCAGGCTCACCGTGAACTATGTGAACGTGAACTTGCTGAACTACAAGCGGAAGCAGAGGCCTACCGGGCTTGGGAAAATGCGGAGGTACGGAAGGCAACTGCCTCATCGAGGCCTTCTCCATCTAAGCGACGGTGTGTCATGACGCTGGAGGCAGCATCGGGATCGGAAGAGACTCCGACCATCTTGCACACTCTGTCTGTGGATGTTCCTCTGACTGGGGAGCCGTTGACCTTGACAATACGTGCCAGAATGGAACCGGAGCCGGAGAATGTCTCGACTGTGGCTGTGGACAGTGCTGCAGAGGGAAGAGACGGAACTCCACCGCAGGCGACGGCGGCAACATGCTCTTCGCTCCCCAATTTGTTCCCGGAGCTGGCCTTTCAGGACTACGAGCAGGTCTATGCACGTTGGCGTCGGGGTGAGATCACGACGCTAGCGGTGGCCCAGCAATATGGCGCAGAGGTAGCAGACCTGGTGCAGACACAGTACGCGGTCGGACAGGCGGAGAACATGAGCATGGAACGTGGTGGAGGGTTAGGCTTGCCGCCACTTGAGCCAGTGGACACCAGAGAGCTGTCTCCTGTGATGGCGCCGGATCACCCGCGCCCGCAGTTCCCCTTCTTCGAATCGATGTACGGCCAATGGAAGTCTGGACTGCGAACCAGTGAAAATATTGCTGCAGCCTTTGGACCGAGGTGGTTGCAACTCTTTGAAATGTGGCGCCGGGAAGGACTACAAGCCATTGAACCTCTCCTTGTGGATGTCCTCCAGCCAGACGACATGGGGGGCGGAGTTGGAGATGCAAATGGGCAGACTCCTGGGAACTCGGGAATTGCAACGGTTCTGGATCCAACTCCTTGTGGCTCTGGGCGCATCTCCTACTCGGTTGTCAAGCAGGTTCATGCACAATGGATGAAAGGGTTGCTCAAGGACGAGACGGTGCATGAGATTTATGGGCCGGACTGGTTGAGACTATTCCGGAGAATGAGGGACGAAGGAGTGGACGCCTGCAAAGAGGAGCTCTCGCAGATGGTCGTATGGGATTCCACAGAACCAGAGCCTGAAGTACCAGAAGCTGAAGCCGTGCAGTCAGTGGAAGGCGTTGCGACGAGTACACCAGAGCAGGAGGTCAAGAGCGAAGAAGTGCCAAGGGCTACGTCACCAGCTGAGGGTAAGGGTCAATAGCCTTCTGCAATGCAGATTCCGGATACCTTTCTAGGCGGATGGAAAAAGGCGCTCAAAAAAAAAAAAAAAAACCCTAAACAGTATAGTATCGTAGCCAGCAGCTCTGCACTGTCAGGCAACTCCACAGGACTGCCAGCTGCGGTGTGGGCGGACATTTGCTTGCTCAGGGCTCAGAATGAGCTTGGAGTCATACACACGCACACACACACACACACACATATATATATATATATATGTGTGTGTGTGTGTGTGTGTGTTTATTTATGTATTCATTCACTGTTATACAATGTATTATAATACAGACATCCAGATCTCCCAGTTTCGCTAATCAGCCTACGGCAATCGGCAATCGAATTGGCAGTGTCAGAAGCTATTCGAGGTACTATGCCTCAGTGCAGCAGGCCATGCCGATCCATACCGTCAAGGCATTCAAAATCGACGAACTAGACCCTGTGGCTCCAAACGAGTGCTGGCTCAAGGGTCAAAGACGCCTAAGCTGTCCCCGTGGGATTGCTGAAAAAGCAAAACCATGCGAGCCTTCAAGGTGTTGCTGGCATGCCTGCCTCTTGCGATGGCGGGGGAACTCTCGGCCTTGAACATGCAACTGGAAGCCCTGCGTGCGGAGGTGCAGGCCCAGAATGACTTGATCAGCGACCAGGCCTCCAAGTTGGACTCATACGCTCAATCGCGACGTCTTCAGACTTGGGTCACCCAGACGGACTACGACACTGCGGTTGCACAGCTGAAGGCCGATGATTACAGCCTCGGCGGAGCCATGGATTCAGCTTGGCTCTGCCTTTGTGGCGCCCTGGTTATGTTCATGCATGCAGGCTTCGCTATGTTGGAGACGGGATCCTGCAGAGCAAAGAATGCCTCAAACGTACTCATGAAGAACCTCGTGAACGTCGCCAGGCTGTTCAGTGGTACACTTTTTTACTTTCAGGTTTCTAAAGGAAGAAGCCTAAACAAGTATATACTTTTTCCCAGTGGGTTACCGAACAGCCTAGGTCACCTTCGGTACCATCGGCTGGTGGGTCTTCGGCTGGGCATTCGCGTATGGGACCCTTGCTGGAGGCTTCATCGGCACCGACGGTTTCTTCGGCATCGGGTTCTACACGAAGGATGCCAACGATGTCATCACGCCTAACAGCTGTGATGCGGATGGATGCCAGAGCACTATGCTCAGCTGGTTCTTTCAGTGGGCTTTCTGCACTGCTGGTGCCACAATCGTGAGCGGTGGTGTCGCAGAGCGTGTGAAGAGCCCTACCTATGCGGCTTACGCTTTCGTCATGACGAGCTTCATCTACCCCGTTGTAGTGGCCTGGACATGGAATTATGGCTGGCTGGATACCATCTTCGATGTGGGTTACATGGACTTTGCCGGCAGCGGCATCGTTCACTTGACTGGAGGTGTCAGTGCCCTCGCTGGAACCATCGTCCTTGGTCCTCGTAAGGGCCGCTTCGAGAACCCGGAGGAGTTCGAGTCTCACAATTTGCCTTTGGTGGTATTGGGCACCTTTGCGCTGTGGTTCGGCTGGTATGGCTTCAACCCGGGTTCCACCCTCGGCATGCACACCGGTGACACCGGGGCAATGGCTGCCCAGGTGGCCATGAACACGACCATTTCAGCCGCTACAGGAGGCCTGACGGTCTTCATGCTCCGCTATGGTATCTACAAGAAGTACGACGTCGGTGGCCTTTGCAACGGCATTCTCGCCGGCCTTGTCTCCATCACGGCCCCCTGCGGCAATGTGGAGTGTGGCAGCGCCTTTGCCATTGGCTTCATCGGAGCCCTTGTCTACCAGGCAGCTTCCATGTTCCTCCAGAAGATGAAGATTGATGATCCCGTGGATGCGAGCCCTGTTCACGGCTTCTGCGGTGTTTGGGGCTTGCTCGCAGCAGCCCTTTTCGACTGGGGCAAGGGCTTCGACCACTACCATGCCTGGTTTGGATTCAGCTGCAAGCCGGTCAGCGACGCCGACCCGAGCTGCATGACTGGTATCGGAGGTAGGGCTATTGCTGCACAGGCGATCATGGCGCTGGTGATCATCGCTTGGGCGGGAACTCTTTCCGGCCTTGCCTTCTTCGTGCTGAAGATGACAGGCAAGCTGCGCATTGACGAAGAAACTGAGGAGACCGGCATGGATCTGAAGCAGCACTCTCCTCCAAAGGCCTATGCGATTGGTCAGGCGCAGTCTCCACCCTAGCGAGATCGGCGTCGCCAGCGGAAGCATGGTCGAAATGACGCCGGAGTAAGGGACCTGGTGGGCGGAGGCCCTGCAGCAATGACTGCTCGGTTTCAATCCTGGCCTCACCTAGGTGCCAAGCCGAATGGGCCGGCGCTAATTCTGCAAGAGAATATGTCGTCGCACACTACCGTCGAAAATCGGCGTGCTGCCGGGTAGAGAGCACGAGTAGTAGTAGTAGTAGTAGTAGTCGTCGTCGTCGTCGTCGTAGTAGTAGTAGTAGTAGTGGTCGTGGTCGTGGTCGTGGTCGTGGTCGTGGTCGTGGTCGTGGTCGTGGTCGTGGTAGTGGTAGTGGTAGTGGTAGTGGTAGTGGTAGTGGTAGTGGTAGTGGTGGTAGTAGTTGTTGTTGTTGTGCTACTGCTACTACTACCACTACTACTACTACTACTTCTTCTTCTACTACTACTACTACTACTACTGCTAATACTGCTGGTACTGGTACTAGTTCTAGTACTACTAGTACTACTCGTACTACTAGCACTGCTACTGCTATGCTACTACTACTTCCACCACGAAACGACAAGAGTCGCCATAACAACAAAATAGAGATAGCAATGAACATGAACAACAACGACACCACCACCACCACCACCACCACCACCACCACCACCACCACCACCACCACCACCACCACCACCAAAATAAACACCAGCAGCAGCAGCAACAACCATAACAACAACTGCTACGACTGCAACCACAACTACAACAAGAGCAACAACAACAACACCAGTACAAACAGCAGCACCAATCCCAAACCATCAACCGCCAACCGGCATCACCACCACCACCACCACCAGCAGCAACAGCAGCAACAACAGTAACAACAGCAACAACAGCAGCAACAGCAGCAGCAACAGCAGCAACACAGCAGCAACAGCAACAAGAAGAAGAAGAAAAGGAAGAAGGTGGCACGTGCGTTTGCCGCCGCGAGTGTGTGTGTGTGTGTGTGTGTGTGTCGTTTTTATGAGGATGTTTAGTCAACAGTCTGAAAATATCGAGTTTTGCATGGCTTGCGTGAACAGGACGATGTATCGCAGCATTTTTTGTTTTCCTAGTTTTATATCATGATGTGTTGGTGATGCTCAAATAACGCAAATACCGTCCTTATCGTGTTGCTTTTGCTTGAGTTTTGGGTTCATGTGTGAAGTTTTTGTTCGCAGAGCCCAGAGAACACGTATTGGTGGCGTTTCCAAAATCAGGTAACATCAAGGGCAACAGGGAGAACCATTGTCATTGTCATAGTTATTACTGATCACCGTAGGTGTCGCCATCGCCATTGTTATCTTCCGGATAAACAGTCGACATCATGCAAAACAGCAGCAACATCATCACCATCCCCCCATCCCCCCTGCCCCAGCAGCAAAGGAAACGGTACATGCAAGCTGCATTCGCATGGACGTCATCACCCCCCCCCCCCTCCCCATCCCTGCAGGGAGGTCAAACACAAATGGAAGTCCAAGCAGGCACGTACGAAAAGTCGAGGGTTCGCACATTGCTGCCCGGGAAATGTTATGAACACACCGCCCAAAACCGATGCGAAATGTGACACACATAGGACAACACCGCAAAAAAGCGATCCGACATGGACAGCTCAGATTTGTTTGCAGCCCGGAAATTGGCCATTTCCTTGTTGAAAACACCGGCGAAACAACAACCACAAATTAATTTTCGAAGCAGCAACGTGCCAAAACTCGAGTGTCAGCACCTGCCAGCCCCGAAATCGCTCCACCCCGTTCGGCAGCAGACGCACGTGCCACCAAGAACCAGAACAACAAGAAGAACAGCAACATTGACAACAACAACCACAACAACACCAGCAACAACAACAACAACAACAACAGCAACAACAGCACCAGCAACACGAGCAACAACAACAACAACAAGCATAACGACAGCAACGACAACAGCAACGACAACAACAACAGCACCAACAACAACAAGGTACAGACAAAAACTGCAGCCCCGTCAAACCAAAAATCTGCTATTTTTGTCTGTACATTAGATAGAGACAAACACAGGAGCCCGTCATGTTGTCTTACCCCCCCGCACAACAACAACAACAGCACAGTGACTAGGGCCTGTGGTGTACAGGTTTTGATTGGTTTGCAGAGGATTTTTCAGTATTTTCAGCGTATGCGTATTTCCATGGATCTTGTGTGTATTTGCATTGATTTGGTGTGTATGTGCAGAGGTTTTGCTGTGTACTTGCAAGGATTTTGTGTGTATTTGCACCGATTTGGTGTGTATGTGCAAGGAGTTTGTGTGTATATACAAGGAGTTTGTGTGTATTTGCAAGGAGTGTGTGCATTTGCAAGCAGTTTGTGTGTATTTGCCAGGTTTTTGTGCATATTTGCGAGGAGGTTGTGTGTAGTTGCAAGGATTTGTAGGTACTTGTATTTCCAAAGATGTCTTACGTATTTCAGTGGATTTCGTGTGTATTTGCAAGGATTTTGTGTGACGTGGATCAAGCCCTTCAACATCACATAAAACCCGTCACTCTCCGCTCAAATCCCTTTTGAACCGTTCGATATATCTAACGCAAACCCTTCAAAATTCCAGACAAGCCCCTTTCAAAAACCCATCAATGAGAACGCCTTCTGGATTTCGCAGATTCCCATACCTGTGGTGGAAATACGTTGTAGCATGGGCGCTTGTTGTAAAGGGGAGCGGTCAAAACAACAGACGGGGCTCCAGTTTTTGTCTCTACCCCAGGGTAGAGACAAAGGCCCTTTGGAATCAGGACTTTGTCTCTACCCTGTGTTAGAGACAAAAACTGGAGCCCCGTCTGTTGTTTCGACCCCCCCCTTTACGACAATCACCCAGCCTACACCGCATTTCTATCATGGGGCAGTTGCTGTGTAAAGCATGGCTTGCATTCCCCAAAACTCTATGGGCACCCTGCGCGGTCGCCGGAAGCATTCCCCATTGCTTCTTATTAACAGCAATTGCAGGCTGCTGTTTCTGCCTGTACCAACAGCAAAACGACAACAACGACAATAATCGCATCATCAACAACAACAGCGGCTGCAGTATTTTGTTGTTGTTGTTGGCGTGGTGTTGGTGGCGTTGCTGTCGTGGGTGGTGTTGGTAGTGTCGATTGCGTTGGTGGTGTTGATGGCGTTGGTGGTGTTGGTGGTGTGTGGTGTCGTTGTGTTGTTGCTGCTGTTGCTGTTGCTGTCGCTGTTTTTGATGTTGGTGTTGGTGTGTTTTGTTGTGGCAGTAGTAGGAGTCGCAGGTTGGAGCAGGAGTAGGAGCAGGAGCAGTGAGTTGTAGGAGTAGTAGGAAGAGTAGTCGCGAAGCCTTTTGAAAGGTGCACAGTTTTCTTGGTGGCCGGATGGTGGCTGCCTCCTGACCGACGACAGCTCTGAGCTCAAGGCCTCGCTGAGGTCATTCCTGCTTCCCAAAGTGAATTTACAGCCAAAGTCTAGAGTCTAGGATAGTAGTGTCCTTTCAGCGCAGGCGAGCCAAAGAATCTACTAATCCACATGAATGCTTCGTACAGGTCATAGTCTGGTTACGGGATGTTACGGGTTCACCGCAAGCTGGAAACGTACCGAGGCAGCTTGCGCGACCCCTGCCCGTAGGCTATTGTGAACCCTTCCGGCCGTGGGCTGGAATTCAGTGCACAACCGACCCTTCACAATAAACGTCCGCTTAGTAGGGCACGGAGCAGTCGTGGCGAGGCCTCAACTTTCAAGTGGTCCTGGACAGCCACTTGGTGCTGGCACAGGGCTTCAGCTGTTTGCCATGGCAGCTTTCAAGCTGTGACGCATGCCTTTGTCGACCACGGTTGGCGTGGGTTTGCGGATATTGTGCAAGGACTATGGATGTCAAGGTGTCCCGGGTCTGGGGGGTGCTGAAGTTCCATTTCTTAATTTTCATGGTCCACGGTGTAATTACACAACAAGCAGCCGAAGCGACTCAAGTTAAGCTACTTACTTGTATTAAATGTATTGAATCTGGCTGTTGGGGGCCCATGCACAAACACTTTGGAATCTCTCCTGATTCCTGATTGGTGCTTCCGTGCAGACAGGCACTGCAAGCTTCATACCCGAGCTCCAAAATGAGGTTGTGGGTCCGCGGAGCTGTGAAGATCTCTCAGCCTACGATGCCCTTGTGCCCACCTCAGCTGTTCAGCAGTGTGACATAGATGCGTCCACGCTGCCAAGTATTACGGTTTCCTTTTTGAGGCTCACTCAAGCGCCACGACCTTTCTAGGTTCTTTTCAAACTCGCTGCAGCCCTGTCCTTGCTCACGTCTCGGCGCAGTTTACCGCTACAGAGCTCCCTTCCTTGAGCGTGACAGCATCAAGGGCCCAGAATGGAGGCTTGCACATGGATTGTAGTCCTATGCCAGGGATGTCGATATCTCTCCTACGAGTTAGAACATGGATTGCCGAGGATTCGTCGGGCGACTCCTTTTGCCAGGCGCCCTGGCTGCACAAAAGAGCCTCTTCCTTTGATTGATTGTTTCTGTTTTCTGACTATTGATCCTGTAATTGCCAGTATGGATTACTACTGTTGCGGCCAGCCAGACCTGCCATCTCCAGCCGTCGCCGTTCCCACGGGCACTTTGCTACAAAGCCTTCAGAAGCTGAGGATGTTTCCTCCTACGCAGGCCCCTCGGAAGGCGAGATTGGAGCTGCTTCCGCGTCACAATCCTGTCTCATGTATTTAGACACCGTGGCGCATTTGACTGCGTGTTTCCCGCCGTTGCTGCTGCCTCTACGATAGAAAGTTTTTTTTTAAAGCCACCATCATCTATTCAATACGATCCATGATGCCGAATCCGCCACCTCACTGAAACTCGACACGAATCTCAAGAGCAGACCATGTATTGCAGCCGCCATACACATCGATGAATACTTTTCTGCTGTGAAAATTACCATTTAATGCCTGATACAACTTCTTCACGACAGGGCTCCACGACTGCAAGGCAAAGTGCGACCGCAACTTGCTTGCACTCAAGGCGAAACGGCAGATCCGTCGCTGTCTTGTTCAATGCACGGAAGTCTTTGCCAAGTGCAGTAGTGCACCATGAAGTGTAAAGTGAGACGTTTCAGGCTATACCGTAACAAAACAAGGACGCACTTTTGAAGGCTCACGTCGAATACAATGGATGCAGTGCAAACTCATGCGCTTCTATCTGAGGCGACGGCGGGTGCCCAGGAAAGCACATAGTCACATAGACTGCTGGAATGGCTTCGCAATTATTCAGTGCTGGCACCTTTCATGGGTGAGCCGAGGTGCAAGTTTTTCAGCATCTGGATGACCGGTGGTCAGCACTGGAGTCTCGATAAGCACTTGCGTTTTCGGGTGGTTCACGGGCATTCACGTCTATTGCGAGACAGGCTCAAGACCGTACTGTACTGGTAGCACTTCTGCGCTGCACCGGGTGTTCAACTTCAAACGTGGCTGAAGGTGCCGCTTGACTGCGAGCTGTGTGGGGCTGAGTCACCAGCCCGGCCACACCATCGGTGTCTACAAGAGGCGTCCGCGGGACTGGGTGCCAGTGGCGTCCAATTCCAAAACATCACGAATTCCTACAAAGACCATGCAGGGCTTTGCTCGATGTTTGAGGCACTGAGGGTTTCCTGTTTTCGGCAACGGTTCAAAACCTTGCACATCTGCTGTCAAGGCTGGACGATGCAAAGCACAATGAACACCTGATGTCCATCCCGTCGGCATGTTTCAACGAGTAAAATGATGGTATGAACACTTCACCGATTGCTTGGTTTGGAAGGAATGCGCAACCAGTTCTTATCATGCCGTGAAGACGTATACCTCCACTACATACATGCTGTCGTGAAGCACCTTGTGTCACGCTGTCGGGGGATGGGAAGAGGCCTGCATGCAATTATTGTTTCGTCCAGATCGAGCCTTCAGTGCACAGACGAAGCTTGCAGGAGTAACAACCAAACTGCCTTGCCAAGATCATGCAAAGCCTTACACTTAGGGGTACATATATAGAAACCATTTCCAAATTGCTGTTCCCATAATCCCTGAGAAACAGCCAAAATTATACTATTTGCAAGGGGTCTAAGTTCAGTACAGTACAAAACTATACAAAATTCGATAACAACCATGTAGCACCTTCCAGCTGTGCTGAAAGGCATCAGATGGCATTACCTGGATCACCCTTCGAGGCTCCCTGAACACGAAAACGGCTTCGCATTCAGAGCGGAGATGCAGACTGATTCAGACTGTTGAGGAGAGAGTGTTGAGGGTTCCTTGGATCGTGGGCACGTGAGAGCTATCCAGAGTCAGGGTTGCCCTGGTCCTGCAATGAAGACACTTTGCAACAAGCACAAATTCATGGATGAAGTATTGTGTTGAGAGATGCCCCTCTCAGAGATTTGCACGCAACAGATTTCCTGCACATCCTGCACACATCGGGGGCTATGCCGCTATTCCTCCAACTATTGTCTTCCACTGAAGTTCTGACAAGAGTCACTTAAACATGCCTTCTGATACTTCGCTTGACAAGCTCAGCCAGTTGGGTAGAAAGGATTCCCGGAAAGAACGACTGATTTGAAAAGTTGTCGACGAGGCGCACACTGCCTGAAAGATGCTCATGATCCGCAACGATCGGCGGCTCACTGACTTGCAAAAACGATGGCATGAATCACTCGAACCCCACACAAGCAGCCATCCTTCCAAATGTAGTCAAAAGCCGCCGCACAGGAGTTGTGTTCCAGCTAACTTTATCAGACATGTGTCGATCGCAATACATCGTCAGCGTTGAAGTGCAGCTGACGCAGAGACGGGAGGCACCGCACGGCCTCTGAGCTATGATACGTGTATATCATCATGCAAAGTTGCTTCTTGACTCGGTCACTCGCCGTCGTCCGCGAAAGCCTCCATGGGTTTGGCAGGGTTTGGCCACGCACGCTAACGTCACCATGTGAAAGCGGCTCTGCGTATCAGCAGTCAGGCAACGGGAGAACAGCACAGGTTTGGCGGTTTAGAGCTCAAGTCCGACATGGTTTCGGATTCCAATCATGTGTCACGTGGGACCATCTGTGTCCTGCAACCGGGCTTGACGTTTCGAATGCCTGGGAGAGAGAGAGAGAGAGAGAGAGAGAGAGAGAGAGCTCATGGACTTAGCCCAAGCATGGTGGCACCGTGCAGGAAAGACCAACCGGCCACGATTGACAAACATCTAAGAGCGTCAGAAGCATTCGCACACGCACACGCAAGCATGCAATGCCAAGCATAAGAGCACCACATCAACTAATCGCACGGACATACCGGCCTGGATCGTGCCTCTGTATGATGGTAATGAGGACTGGCCACCTGGCACACGTTGTTGTGACACTAGTAACAAGCGCAATACGAGTGCCACGACGACTAAATCCACAGTTCGGAGTACGAGAAGTTCCGAGTGAGAAGGCTAGCATGATGGACAGTGTACCGGTGCTAGCCCTCCCAGCACGCACTAAGAAAATAGCCAGCTGTTGTTATAAGCAAGCACTTTTTCCAACAGTCCTGGCCTCGGTAAGATGCGTGCTAATGAGTCCGGGCACCAACAAGCTGACCTCCAGCTTCAGCAGAAATGTGGATGGATTGACAAGATGCATTTCAGCTCACTTGATGATGGCGGAGAGAGAGAGAGAGAGATTTCAGATCTTAGGTCTTAGAGTTTGTGCTATGTATGTAAGGGTAATTAATTCATGTATTGGTAATGTTATATCCCCCTGCATGCCCTCCCCGTCCTGCAACACCGTAAACCTTGATGTGTATATAATATATATATATATATATATATATATATATATATATTTGTGCATGTATATTTTCGCACACACACACATGTATATATGTATATATATATATATATATATATATGTATATATACAGGTACACACATGCACACGCATGAATATATAAATTTATGTACGTGTATGTGTTGTCCTGTGATGTAATGTAATGATGCATACATGCATGTACGTAATAACGTATGTATGTGTTTGTGTATGCTTGTTTGTACATATATATATATGTATGTATTTACACATGTATTTATATATACACACATACACATGTTTAGTTGATGTCACATTTACATGTTATACATGTTGAATGAGATTGGTTCCCGCAGCCCAGTGTGCACGGCACATTGAGCCGAGGTCTCGCAGCCAGTAGCGTTGCCCTTCGCAGCCCCTCGCTGCCGCACGTGTGTGTGTGTGTGGGTGTGTGTGTGTGTGTGTTGGTTGTTTTCTGCTTGGCAGGTAGCAACTTGGTGAGCCTCATAGCTTTTTGACTTCAGGTGTTCAGAGGCAGGATAAATGACATGACGAAGCTTCGCCTAGCATCGGGCATGAGTGTGCAAGCTTGACTTGGTGCCATAGCACGACTCGTACGACCTGAACATGATACTGCCGTGAGCGCACCCACTTATTCTAAGACGAGCTGAAAGTCAGCGAGGCATACTTAACGTAAAATGGTTCCCAAGCGCAACAAACTTTGAGTTTTGCAGATGTCTGTCCGCTTCAGACCTGGCCCTCAACGTTGGTGTCGGTCGAAAAGAGTTCAGCATCAGCTTTTGTAAGAAGCTTCGCCGGGGTCACCATGCAGCGCTGTACGATACGGAGCCATGACGGTTCGCAGTTGAGGGCTCAGGATTTTACACGAAGGCATGCTACTTTAGAGCTTGAAATTCAGGACTTCGACGCCTTCAAAGGGGTCAACGGAACCAGCTGCGATGCTTACCCCGCGAGACTCGGCTTTAATGTGGCCTGATGGGATAATAGGCCAGTGGTGCACAAGGTGCCGGTACCACCACGACGACGACTACTACTGCGCTACTACTACAACAACAACTACTACTACTACTACTACGACTACTACTACTACTACTACTACTATTACTACTACTACTACTACTACTACTACTAGTACTGCCGCTACCGCTACCACAACTGATGCTACTACTACTACTACTACTACTACTACTACTACTACTACTACTACTACTACTACTACTATGGCTACTACGACTACTACTACAGCTTACTACTATTGCTTACTGCTGTTGCTACTGCTATTGCTACGATTATATACTGCCTACGAAAACGACCAGTGCTCATTGCTACTTCAATAGCAAACCAGTGAACTTGCACATAGTGGACTTGTAGGTCAACTGCGGGGAATGCAGCAAACGTGACGACGATGAATACTTCTAGTGGCAAAAAGGCGTCAACTGGTCCAGAACTTGACTAGCAACTAGCATGCCCGGAGGAGAACTGCAATAAGCACCTCAAAGAAAAAACGAGGACATGCAGTAGTGTTCGTATGCCACAACAAACGGCAGCTGGGTGACCGTCGAACCCTAAGCTCTCAACCTGGCTAGCTTGCGGCAGCGGTGTGTTCAGTTGTTTTCGATCGGGATGCCCAGGTGCCGCGCGGCAGGTCTTGCCGGCACGTGCTGTCCCAATCATGAGAAGGCTGGAGCGTGCGCTTCGGTGTTGCCCAATCTATGCCACAAGCAGTCGTAGTTGTGGCTCCGGCATCGGACACTCAACAGACTTCTTTTTATAAGCAGGGCATTGACAACGCCTTGAGCAAGGTGACGCTGTCCTGCTGCAACGGCCCGCCTCCGGCACCCCAGCTTCACTACATGTAACTTCGATGTTAGTGCGCTTGGCCACTCGGAAGCTACATGGCTCGCTGTAGGCTTTCTATATGTCAAAAGCAGGTCGGTGTTCAGAGTGCAGACGAAGCACAGAGCCTGGTGAGCGGCACCTTGTGCTGTGCATATGAGGCGCTACCGGGCCACGAGGTCACACCTGTTGTGCCACGCCGTGACCCTCCGAGTAACTCAGAGGCATTGAGGCTGGCTGAAGTTTTTGGGGTTCGGGTCCGGGTTTCTCACATCAAAAGGGGAAGTTGAAGTTGCAGCTGTAGTTTTTCAGTGAACTAGGCAGCTGGATACAGTTTGACCGGTATCAGCAGGGATTGAAGTTGAAGAGATAAACATTCGCATGTGCACATGTACGCGGGCTTGGATGCGCATTGTTGAACTTGGGGGCCACAGTGTTATAGTGTTTTGTAACTTCCCGAATGGATTGCAAACCGGCCTACGCTCTGTGGAGCATTTTTTGTCGATCTGTTGTGAACTGCCTGAATAAGAATCAGAATCAGTAGTGCCCTGAACTACATACATATTATGACGTGCTTTGTGCCAGACTGTTTGGGATTACTTTCATAGCCCAGGTTTGACAGCACGGTGAGCTGGCCCTTCTCTACTTGACTTGTGGTGGCTCAGCTCTCAGCATCTCGGTAGTTTTCTTGGCAGGTTGCTGCTGCCCAGTAAACCTTGCCACTGCGGACACAGTATCTCACCCGCGATGCGTCATCTGTATCAGAGCTTTCTCACGTTCCGTGCATCTTGTTGCTCGTTGGGGCAATTCGCTGCATGCGCGCGTCTTCAAAGCCTTGTGACGCACTGCAAACGCGAGCGATACAGCATCCGCAAGATTGAAGCGACAAAGGCAGCTTCAAGTCTTCAAGGGTACTGTTCACTCTTAGGCACTTAGGGTGGGAGTTTGAGCTGCAATGCTTTACCGATCTATGTTTTGATTTGCCCAACCTCGCTCGAGGTCCACTTCGCTGCTGGCTACCATGCGCCGAATTCGTCAGAACGACGGCTTAGAAGCTGAAAGCTTTCGCGACTCAGGATGCTGCAAGGGCAGGGTCTTCTCGAGATGTCATCGCGTTTCCTATCATCATACGTACAATTTCCATAGTATGAGCTGGCCAAGGGTTGGACGTGAACGATGCAGACTTTGCCACAGTCTTGGGGCCTCAGACATTGGCGTCCTAGCCTGAAGCTTCCCAGCAACCCGAACGAAGTCCCCTTGCGCTGGTCCGGACTGTGAGAGGAGCCTGAAGATCTCGAGTTTTAACCGACCGCGTTTCTGCCTATACAGTCTAGACCCGGGAGTGTCTAAGCCGTGAAATGATGGCGGGACAGCCGGGAGCTCGTCTTGTGGAGACAAAAACGGAGCGTTCTGGCCGACTTGTGGGGCTCCTCGCTTCGACTTTTCCGCGCTCAGATGTTTCTCGCATCAGCGACATGCGAAGGCCAGACCAAAAAAAAGGAGAGAGAGAGAGAGAGAGACAGAGGAACAAAGAAGGATAGAAATTAGGCAATTTCATGTTTCTCACCTGTTGGATTGAGCGAATAGATTCGAAGCTTCTGCAGGGTTCTGGTGATGATTTTGCGGGAGGTAGGTCTCGGTCGAATCCATCTGAATCCGCACCGCGACACCCCAGGCCCTTTGCCCTTAGCCAAGCCCTGGCAAGTCCTGGAATCTCAGGTGCTTCCTGTGCAGAGGTTTCAAGGCCGGCTTGCTCGAATTCCGTGCATCGTGACGTTCATAAGTTGAGAGTTTCAGAACTAAGGGATCCCTTTCACGCTCCCTAAGAGGGAGGACACTTATGAGAAAGCCATCTCTCTTCAAGTTACCGCTTGTTCTCTGAACCACACCCCACCCGATACAAGATGGTTACTAGCAGCATCTAAATATGTCGAAACGAAACGGTAGTGCCACTCGTGTGAGATCATACTCGTAGAAGACATTGCCGTTTACATTTGTTCTTCCTAATCTATCCAAGCCTGCTAAGTTCTCTGGCATTTAGCGACCGTGTATTGGTTTTGTTGGAGGGCTTCTTGCCTTCATTACTGGATGGCAGACAAAGAGATCTGAGGCCTGACCTAAGCCCTCCGTCGCTTGGGCTCTGCAAGCCCACAGCCGTGGTCTGTTTCGTTTAGAGGGCACTATATCACTATATGTACTTATGCTCTTTCAGTGGAGTTCACACCGGCACGTAAGCTGTCCTCTTCCTGCCTTCCTGTCGGTTCGGGGGGGGGGGGTATGGAGAGCGCTCCTTGCTTTCAAAATGCATCCTTCAGGTTCGTGCAGTCCATGAAGGAAGCCCAATTCTCCTTACAGGCCTGGAGCTTTGGCCCAGCAGCAGTGGTGTGAATGTTTTTATTTGGTTTGGCGTAAAGCCAACATGGGAGATACACAAAATCGAGGGCCGCGGTAGACTCAAAATGCCAGGGCCATCCTCCGACGAAAGGCGAAGGGCCCTCTACAGTTAAAACAAACCTTGCCACTTCAAAATCCTAACCCCGAATACAAATCAAACCCTAAACCCCTAAACCCTAAAGCCCACCGTACAAAAGCTTTGCCAACTCCTTTTCATCTCCCAATGAAATCACTACACAATCGTACAGAACCCATTGAAGTCCTCCTGAAGTCTCCCCTAACCGCTAAACATCTCTGAGCCCTGAGCCCAGACCCTACTGTGGCTAGCCCTGCATGCGTATGTGTACATATATATATATATATATATACACATATGTATGTATATGTATATGTATATGTATATGTATATGTATATGTATATGTATATGTATATGTATATGTATATGTATATGTATATGTATATGTATATGTATGTATGTATGTATATAGATCTATAATATACATAGATGCAAAGATATGTGTATCTATACATCCAAAATTACCAAAACACACACACCCACACACACATATATATATATATATACACACTATATATACACATGTGTATATATATATATATATACAATGAAAGGCCATCCTTCTGGCCTCCTGTCATCTCGACGAAGTGATGCTGCTCCTGGGCCGGGGTGCTCAGAGATTTTCCCCCTTTTCGGGGCCCCTACAGGGCCTCGGGCTTGGAGACCTGAAGGCTTTACTGAAGGTAGGGGCTTTCATAATTAGAATGGAGTTTGGTGGGGCATATTATACTATAACTATACTGAGGAACCCAATTAAAAATAAGAATGGAGTTTGGTGGGGTATATTATACTATATTTTTTCTAAGGAACCCAAAACCCTCTTCTACTTATTCAGGCATGTACATTACGGCTTTAGGAATTCTGGTGCCTGACCCAGATGCCCCCAACCAGGTCTAGACAATTATCCGAAAGCATATTTGGAACTGCAGGCAAGTTGAGGGCTTCTGGTGCTGCATGTTCGTTTCAGGATCCGACGCAGCTTGGCTCGTTGGCTACCTGAGAGTCTTTGCTGAAACAGCTGAGCTCTCAATTATCTACATTCTGAGGTTTCAATCATCTCCCTTCGTTTGGAGACCTCGCTACACGATGCTGTAATTAGCAAGAGTTGCCTGATGGCTGCGAGTTGCCTGAAAGGTCCAGCAGCACACATTCCAGGGGCGCTGCTCTGAATAAGTATTGACCAGACCGTTCCGAGCTGCGAGCAGATATTCATTACATGTCAGCGCACCTGCAACTCGACATTCGCAAAGCAAAGGAGTTGAACCCAACGCCACTGCACTGAACACGACGATCCATGGGCGGCGGGACTTCGTGAAGGACCCGGGAGAGCATGTCAGCGATCATACCTCGGGAAGTAGTGAAACGAGTTAAAGCCCAAGCAGGACGAGCTTCTCATTCAGGTGATGTTGTATCATCACATACAAGTATATAGAGTTTTGTGGGCTGGAACGCACGGAAGGCTCGTCTTTGCAGCTAAATGACTCTTCGCAAGCAACTGAGTATGTCGGCGAAGTCTGCTATCTTCTCCGCATTCGACTAGAATCATGCTTGTATGTTCATCAGCCAACAAGCTCGGAGAACTTGCTCCCGATCAGCGAATATGAGAACAGTACAGCAGGGTCAAAATACCTATTTCAAAAGCCTTGTCCAGTCAAGCATTAGCCGATTGGCCTGTCACTCACACAAATGATGATGTTGGATTTCCGTACCTTCAATCGGGGGGAGGGGGGAATGCGGTTTAGCTCCTTCGAGCAGCTTCAACTCATATCCTCCCAGGTGTTCCCTAACACCGTAAAGCCGAAGCAAGGCCTACTCCTCCCACTTCGCCACGCCACCGGGCGCTTTTGCCTCCCTTGCGCCGCTTGGATTTAAACTGCAAAAGAGACGTGTCTTCTTAGCCTGAAAGTTCAACACGGAGCTGTAGCCAGTTGGTGAACGATTTATTGGTCGCACAAAACGTTTGTCACCAACTCAAGGGATCATTCGCGTTGCTGATGGTAAACCTCACAGCAATGATTCTGAATTAAGACTCTTCCTCCACCGAAATTAGTGAATGCTGTCGACTTGGACTTTGGATTTGCAGCTTCTGCTGCTTCTAGTGTTGTGTTAATTTCGCCATGTCACATTTGTTGCTGCTGGGTGGCTGCTGCTGCTGCTGCTGTTGCAGCTGCTGCTATTGGTACTACTGACCCTCCTACTACCTGGCACGACGATTGGTAATAGCACCGGTGCGATTTCTATTGGCTGTGACCCACCATAGGGACAAGAGCAATAAGCAGTGCTGCAAGGAGAGGTGCACTAAATACATGATTAGGACTGTCGCTAGTAGATCCGGTGTGTCTCTCAGAGTTCTGTGTGAGTATGTTTCTTTCTATCTCTCGCTTCGCTCCCTTTGCCTCTCTCTCTCTCCCTCTCTCCTCTCTCTTTCTCTCTGCTTGACTTTGTTTAGTATGCCTCACAGAGAGGCGCCGCGTTTCTGCATGCTCGATTTTGACCTGTGCTACGCAGTAGGGATTGAGACCAGTTGGAGCAGCGAGGTATGAAGTTCTCCTGGAGATGATGCAGGCACCTAGCTGCAGTATGTTGTGTGCTGTGCACAACAATGAGCACCAAACATTTGGAAGTCCAGCAAGACATCAACCGATGTGCGGCGCACAGAAACGGCCGTGTCTTGTGTACATCCCTCTGTCACTGCGAAAAACGTCACAAACTTTAAATGCCATGCAGGCCATGCTCCTTGCAGCATCCACCGCCACGGCCGCAGTGGCCGCGAGGCTCGGCGATGCAGCGGCCATGGCGGCCTGGCAGCTGCAGGTCCCAGCAGGGTACTATAATGAAGGGCTCCTTAAAGGAATCTATAAGGGTTCTACAATGGAGGATCACGGGACTTAGTAAGTAAGGTTATAAGTACCTTACTTGGGGTTATAAGTATAGTTACCCTAATTATAACCCTAGCTACACGCGGAGTAGAGCCTTCCGTTCAGGAAACCATGTGCTCGCGATGTAGGGACAAGTTGTTCTGTGCCGAAATGGGGTTGATGTAGTAGAACGCTCCAGGTTGCGCATGTTCAAGCAGCACAGTTCTTTTGGTGGGTATTGAAATTCACGTTTTGCACAGCTCACGTTGTGGATGCTGATGTGGGCTGCCATGCATAACTG